GACACCAAAGGGGGCTGTGCCTTGCACGCCCTTCACTACTTTCTGATATGGCAATCAGGATCCGGGCCAAGTACCAAACCCGAGGGAAGGCGGAAGCAATGTGGCTAGGGTTGAAAGAAGCTGCATCATCATGCATCCCTGAATTCGGATCACTTCCCCGCTTTCTTGACGACTTGGATCTTCTTTCTTCTCTGACTCTCTCTTCTCTGACACTCTCTCTTCTGACTGCAGGATGAGACTTTGAATGGTGAAGAGCTGATTCCCATTTCCATCTGGGAGATTGACAGTAGATTCTTGTTGCTTCCAGAGCACAGAGCCCGAGACGGAGCGGAAGGCTTGAGGGAAGAGAAGCAGTGGTACCCGGCAACCCGGCAACCCGGCGACCCGGCGACCCGGAGGAGAAAGAATAGAGTAGAGGAGGGAGAGAGAGAGAGAGAGAGAGCAGAGAGAGCAGAGAGAGCAGAGTAACATAGAGAAACATAGAGAAACAAAAGAGGCTGAGAGGAAAGAAATGGAATGAAATGGAAAGAGAAAAGGGGTTAAAAAGACATAAAAAGACTACAGGGAACAAAAAGAGAAAACAGGAAACAAAAGATAATGAAGAAGAGGAACAGATAGAGAATGAAAGAGTAAAGCGGAGGAACCCGGCAACAGAGGAAAAGATCAAAAAGACTACAGGGAACAAAAAGAGAAAAGAGGAAACAAAAGATAATGAAAGAAGAGGAAAAAATAGATAATGAAAGAGTAAAGCGGAGGAACCCGTCAACAGAGGAAAAGATCATGTTAAATATACCATACCCGAAACCTTGCATTTCCTCAGGTTTCCCAAATTGATGTATTATCAAATGGGGGTACACCCCCCCTCCAATACAAAAGTTAAGTCATGGGGATCCAGTGATACTTCTTTCAGAGCGGCAAAGAGGTGCTGAACTTCTCCAGAAAACCCACCATGAGTTCCATGCTCCGCAGAGTCTTGCCGGAGGTCCCACAATCGCATGGCTCCATCAGCAGATACAGCCAACGCCTCTGATGAAACGGGGGGTCGTTGTGCCAAGTGCCAATGAGAACATATCAGAATGCAGTGACTATCTGGTTAATAGCGTTTTCATAGAATCCCTTAATATCATTCAATATATGTCAATATCCTTCAACTACGTCTGGTTTTTCTGTTTTTCTCTCACCTACGGAATTTGCGGTTTGTTTACAGATAGTTGTCATCTCGCACCTGCCGACCGGTCCAGTCCACTTCCAAAGAAACTGTCGGGCTGGCGTGATCCTTGGCCACTCGGACAGGACACCCGAGTCTTCGATGTGTCTGAAGATGCTGTAATGATCTATAATGTTAGTAAAGCAATACAAACCATCATCAAATGTACCAGAAATGGGCGCTATAAATCGCTAGGCTATAAACTATCAATTCTGGGTGGTTTTGTTTACTGCTCTGCTGAGCATACCCAGCGTAGAACTTAAATGTACAAACCTATCCACCGTTTCCACGGAAACCTATGGACGAGCCATCCCCGCATCGCAGCCGAAGAGTCCATGAGTTCCTTCATAACTTCACCACCATCCAAATCCCACAACCTCAGCTGGAATTCTGCTTCCCAGCGGCCTTCCAGAAATAGATCCCTTGCCGAACATCAACATCTCTGAAAAATACCCTGCTAGAATCCTGGTTTCTATGGTTTCTTGATAGAACTATTCTTATTATTCCTCTATTGGAACTTGGAACCATTTATTTTGGATCATTTTGGTCTCTTCAGCTCCGCTCCCAAGAAACAGCAGTGTTTGATCCAAGCCAGCGCTGATTGCCACATTGCTTTCCCAATGCACCGCAAGGCAGGTGACTGCATCGGTGTGCCCTCGCCTCAGATCTACCGAGTGCGCCGTCATGCGCCATCCCACCTCGATTTAATCGATCCAGTCTCTCATGTGTCCAATCTATGATCAATCTGTGTCTATATAATATGTTCTTGTTTGTACCTGTCTGCAAGTAATCAATCAATCAATCAATCAATCAGTCAGTCAATCAATCAATCAATCAATCAATCAATCAATCATTGATCCATCTAATCTCTCTCTCTCTCTCGCCATCGCTATCAGGGAGATCAGCAGTCAAGTTCAAGGTGATCTAATCATATCTCATCTATCTACATAGGTTTACGTACAGTCTCGCCGTACTGTAACACATGACCAAGGATTGTGGGAGGGATTATGGATAATGCATATGGATGATTGTGGCATATTGTCGATTAGGATGATGATGGTATATCAATTATGGATTATATGGATTATGTATATGGATTAGTCCTATTCTTATAATAGAAAGTAATAGTTATAATCATTATCAACATCATTAATCAGATTAGTTCTCTCTCATCAATTAACTATGGATGATTATACAAGTTAATCCATTTGGTATCTTAACTGGTATATTGACTATGGATGATTATGGATTAACTATACTTATGGTATATGATATTAATTATACCATGGATTATAATCATACATAGATTAACCATGGATTCAGTATAGATGATTACAATGATTATACCTGGTCTAACAGTCCAACACATTAATTATGGCATTAATAATAATGGGTTATAGATTATTATACCATAATTAATGGTAATTAATATCCAATAATTATAAATATGATTATTGTAGTATATTGTAGTTAATGGACTATACCATAATAACAATATAATCTGGGTAAATTGAAAAAACACTAACCTGAATAGTTCGGCCATTTGGGGATGACTCCTCTTATTGACCATGATTCAAGGGCTCGGTCGCAGTGAGGTCGTTATATACTGATTATCCAAATTGTTGATGGTTAAATTCCACTAGATCCCATTGAATCACCATTAAATCATATTAAATCATGGAATTTCCCATGTGGAATCACCAAGTTTACTAATACCCTCTGGTAATTTAACATAGCTATTGAAAATGACCATTTATAGTGAATTTTCCCATTAAACGTGGTGATTTTCCATAGTTATGTTAGTTTACCAGAGTGTAACCCATAATCAAGGCTGCAACTGATCCTCAGGTGCCATGTGCTGAGAGACAGCTCCAGGAGGCATCTGCAATTGGCCAGGTCCCAGAGCCTGATTTCGCACAAAAAATGGAGGTTTTTTCATGGGAAACATATGGGAAACATATGGGAAAATCATCTATAAATGTGGATTTATATGGGAAATCTCATAAAAAATACATAAGTCTTGAATGGAAAAATCAGTAGCAGGCCCGTTCTTTGGGCACAAATAATGCGCCACAGCGATTGGTTGGCTGATGATGGCGCATGATTCCTGGGCAAACCCATCTATTCCTGCACACGACCCCAATTCCCTTGAAGAGAACTTGGATTAATTACTCATTCAAATGATATCAAATGCACATAGTGGGACCCTGGCTCAGCAGTTACGGAGTTACTACCCATCCTCCACCTATCAAGCCCTGCTGACTGACTACTCCAAGCTGCTGTATGGAGCGATCAGCACTGCCACTCAGAGCCCGCTCTTGCGGCCAGTTGACGCAAAGACAAGAGACCAACTCCCTGCGCGGGACAGGGACAAAGTTCCCAGTACACCAAAAAAGCACGGTCGAATACATATACGTGTGCATGTATAAATAAATCATTTCCCGATATGGATTATGGATGATAATTATTGATAATTATTAATTATGGTATATCATGGCCATCCCATTATTAATATTATTATATAACATAGTAATTGGGATTCCTTATCTTGGACATAGTAATTCCCTTTTGATGGTGGTATGACCATCAGCTACTGGAACACTGAATCCAAGGGGCGTGTGTCCATGTAAGTCTCGATCTGCTTCACTACTGTGGAGATCCCACAGGATGAGCCTCTGCTGTTTACTGCAGGCAAATCGAAGCTTTGAGTCAATCAAGCGTGCAGCAGTAGCAACCTTTGATTTACTGTTATTTAATTCAAACTTGTCACCCAAAATACCAAAGGCCATCATCATTGCATAAGAGGCACTTCCTATCTCGTCCGCCACTCAGCACCATGCGAGTGAGGGACCGAATCAATGTCAAACGTAGCACAGCCTGCCAGAAAAACAAACCAATCAACGCGACTAATGGGAGTTTTCCTATGGTTTCCTGAAATGGGGTACCCGAAATCATCGAAAATTGTCTACAGATTATTCAGATTTGAAACCCACGGGTTTGGGGATCCCCAATTTGGGAAACCTCCTGCGAGTTAACCTCTGGAAGCAGTTGATGGCGAAACTACCGCTGCCTCATCATTGGGGAGACTGCGCAGGGCAATGCAATCATCCAATACTTCTGATTCCAAGGCGATAATCTGATCCTGTCGCAAGTGGCAGTGGTGGCATGTTTGCATCCACAATTTCTTTCCAAACACGTTTGACAAGTTTTAATCGCTACTGACTATCATTTACTGCTTTCAATATCTTTAAAAATCTCTCCGAGACCCGGCCCAAGTACGCCGGGCGCGCCTGCGGTGGAACTCCTTGCGGGAAAGGCAGTGTCGGGATGGAAATACGACAGAAATCGTCAGTTTGGTGGGGTGGATTCCGCACAGTGTGTTGGACTCTGGTCACTATTGAATCATTATTGATATCTATTGGATCATTGGGAAATTCCACACGCAAATATGGCCGCGCAACATGGGATTTTTCACCACTTTGCAAAAGCTACTGCTGAAAGTTGGCCAACTTCCTCAAACTTGTCCAAGGGACTAGCCGAAAAGGCAACTTGTGTAGCCAAGCTTCCACAAATTGGCTCCAGCTTTGACTTCAGATCTGCCACGGACAAGTTGAGCTCAGGGAAATCTTTTTCCTAGGTGTCAGCATGATGATTTCCTAGGTGGTCAATGTCTTCGGAGTTTTCAAGGTCTGCAATATAAGGTGAATCATGCCTTCAGAAACAAAATAAAAGTTGCAAAACTGCATTGCTCCAAGATTCGTACAAAACAGCGCCACTGACGTAAGCAACAACCACTGGTGCCATGAGAGGTCATGGCCTTTGTCTACACATTTTGTCAGTGCTAGAATGGCACTGTTCTGATTAGATGTTGTCTAGATTTAGTCATGTACAATGAATAATTATCAGAACCATCTACTTTTGTTTTCAAACGTCGGACCTTTTCTCGGCTGCCCGCGGCATCTACAATTATGATATCATGTTCTCTCATTTAGTCATGATAGTAGATGGAAATCCTATGGCGCATCTACATAATCTACGCTCAGTTGGATGGCAGCCGGCTGAATTTGTGCTGATGTGCCACCGTGCCCAAGTGCTGAACAGCTCGGACATCAGCTTCAACCATCTCAACCCCCAAAAACTGCGATGCGTTCAATGCACCATGCGCCAACATCCAGCCAGTTTGGTCGCAGTTTGTTTCATCTTTTTGCTTCCTTCTGACTTCAACCAAAAACAACATGTGTCTTAACTATCGCCAACCGGTCACCGTCGCCGTTTTTTTTGGCTCTGTTCGGCTTTTAAGATGACTAACGGGTCTGCTGGTGCAGCCTTGAAGAAACGCGACGGAAACGTTCTGATCTAGCCCCACTTTCAGGCCTTGACCAGGGAACGGTATTTTTGTTGGCAACCGCACATTAGTATACATTAGTTGCCTCTGGAACGTCAGCGCAAGCAATTTGGGGGAAAACTGAGACTTCTGTAGGAGCTACTGGCAACATATGGCAAACTAGTAACAACTAGTCGCCCACAATTGACACACTTCAGAACGGGAGGATCTGCACGATCTGCACGTTCTATTTGCGCTCTCCTTAGACGTGGGCTTCCGACGAAAGCAAACCCGTGCAACACAGACTGTCTCCATCTGCAACCTGAGCCATAAGCGTGAGTTTCAAATGCCTCCAGAAACACTTGACCCCATCATGACCCCATCTTTAACCAGGTCAGGCTCGTTGCGAGCGTTTGAAGGACACCTTGTAATCTACCTCATAGTAACCTCAGCAAGGCAGAACTTGTTGCAGTGTAATTCTTTTGGAACTTTGGAACGCATTGACTGACTATACAGTTGTGAAAGCCATTCAAGAGGTCAGTTACTTCTGACTGGCCTATACCTCATTATATTGACACACGGTGACACTACATTTCGACTGCTCCGGAATTCATTGGCTTTCCGCCCACCTGTTTGAGGATCTCCTTTCATTCGACATAGTTCCAAAGAATCCGCTGTGACCACGCCCAGCTCAACAGTTCGAAGGGCCTTCCGACAATTCAGCCGTGCTGCTGGTGGTGATCGTGGTGGTGGAGGTGGGGACTGTGGTGGGGGTCGTAGTCGTTGGTAGCGGAGGAGGATGAGGATCGTGCCTATGATGAGGACTATGAAGACTGTGATGATCAGGAATTATGAGGATCATGAACCTTGTGAGCATCATCATGAGTATCATAAGTGGCATGCATAAGCACCATGAGTACGATGAGAACCGTCAAAGTCATGAAAACCAGAAACAGCATGGAAAACATAGGTGAGCAACCAGCATGATCTAGCCATCCGGTCCTGCCAACAGCTCTCTGGAATGCGAGCTCCATCATGTGCTCGGCTGGTCTTGGCCAAAGTCATGTGTGGCTGAAAGCCTGGGAACACGTGTGGCAATTTGTCTCTCAAATTGAGGTGACAGCACCTCAGCATACCACAGTTACTGAATGGCATTGTGTATCATGTTGTCGTATTTGGTCCTTTGGTCATATTTGGTCCACCAAAAAAGGATAAAAAGGTGGCAGGTTCTTGATGGTTCTTGATAGTGATGGATCTTCACCAGCTCAAATGCTCCCTCCAAGCACTTCTACACCGGCGCATTTGACTGGTCAAGGCACAGTCTTCCTCCTCCAGGCTTGGCACAGTGGTGTGCAGCATGTACATGATCCAACCCTTTTGTGAGACAAACAAACAGAGAAGAACAGATAGGACTAGATAAAATCAAATACATAGCATGCATTAATATCTAACATTATCTAACTATGTATATTTTTGTATGAATATGCATTGGCATACGTATGACTCACATGACATGTCACCTGTCACAACATTCACAATTCCATACCTTATCTATACAACAACATTGCTATCAGTTCTATCCATGAAGCCCCTCCTCCGTGGCAATGTCAGCGCCAGCTTCAGGAGGCCTGACTCTGTTCTTGCTGCTGAATTGGAACTTAATGGGGGGAAAAACAATCATCTGACTGGCATAAGCTTACAAAACGAGGCAAAGCCTCAGAATTCTGTTTCCAATTTCCTGTTGTTGCATCACTTGGTATAATATGGTATAATTATATATTGAATCTTTCAGGCTTTCAGGGTCGACCTTTTTTTTAGGCGTTTAGATGAAGAGCATATACCAGCGGACGCAAATGAGTCTCTGATCATGACTGGTTGGTGGCATATGGTGGCATACCCATCGCACAAATATCACTCAATGTTGATCACTTTTTTCAGAGATGGAAGAACAATACATGCATTGAAACCATCAGCCAAACATAGACGTCATATCTAAATTCGAAAGCTGGTTCAGTCTCCATTTTTGCTTGAGAAATGTCGACAGAGCCAAACAAAAACAAGCAATCAAATGCCCAAAGTTTTTAAACATCCAATCCCATCAACCGTTGCTAAAGGTATAATTCTCTAAATCAATATAAATCATCGTCATTGCCAAATATTCAACACAGAAACCATCCCTTAAATAGTGGATGAAACATGTTTTTCAACCACCTAAATTGGGACCATACTGTACCATGTTTTTTTAGGGATGGGATGATGGTCCCACATGGTCCCATCCCACGGCGGCGAAGGATGGCGAAGGCGCCAAAGCAGACGTCCCGTTTTGATCTCAACGGCTTTGGCGAAAAGCTCGGTGGGGATGTGGCCACACTCGTTGCCGCGGCTCAGCACCTGGGAACGGTGCTAAGTGGAGTGAACGACGATCACCGTTGAAGGAGAACAAAAAGGGAACAAAAACTACAAGATATATATAAATATATATACAAGATATTTTACAACATATTCCACAATTTATAGGGATATAAATGATATATATTAACCTACAGTTTTATCAGAATCAGAATCACCAGGCTCCTTGAACTTCGAAAGGGTGAAGTCGTGACAGGACTTTGTGCATGGGCAAAAAGTTTGGCTGCCGAGGGGCCACATCATTGGAAGAACGGAAGAGTTTGATTCCCATGGCCAAGGCTTTTGGCACATCCAGGTAGATGGCCACTGTACAATCTGCAGCAAAATGAGCTATGGAGTATTGTGGAGTGTATGTTCTCAACAAATCCTTGGGAAGATTTTTGAAGATGTTCCTTAAACATCTTAAACCTTCATGGTGGAGATCAGTTGTAGCAAGCACACAAGGTTGAACATGCAGCATGCAGCGTTCCGGAGCTGAACAGGGTGCATCTTGAGCATACTCACTGCAAGTCCCAAATGACCTGCTTGCTACGCCAGTATCTCTCGTCATTCAATCACGATGCCTTGACGCATGCCGCTGATGACAGTGCGAGAGCCGACCTGCACGGGAATATAAATGAATAAATAGATAACTAAATAAATAAGTAACTAAATAAATAAATAAGTACTTATTTACATATATACTCACTTCTGATAACTTAGGAGTTGTGGAAGCCTGTTTTTTGCCTGTTTTAAGATGATGACATAGGACAAACCAAGTCGTCACAAAGTTTGTTCGCCGAGACTTGGGACCTTAGCGTGAAAAGTGCGTTTGGCCTGTGACATACACATCACATCAGAGCTCCTTGGTGACATAGGACATGTCACTGTTTCTGGGACACATGTCTCATGTCATGTTTTTTCATATGTAAAACATGCACCTGAACTAGAAACGGACGAACGTTTTTTGGGGATGGTTTAGGGTGGAATGGCGCTATTGCTGTGTGGATGACTCAGGACTTGTGTGTATGTTTGGTGGATGAAGGATTCCATGCTTATCCAGCATTGCACATCAAATCATGCCAAATTGTGAGCAAAACTGGATGACCTGGGAATTCTTAATTTGGTTTGCCAGCAGGTTGGTACATCAGGAAACCTAAGACCGTGAAGAGAGAAAATGCATGACTTGGGAGTTGTGCGCACTTCGTGTCAGGGATGCAGGTCATGCATGGTCATGCGTGATCTTTGTTTGTTTGTGGTAAGTGCTTTGTCATCATATTCAAGCACAGGCAGGAATTGCGCGCGTCTAGTGTCAGTTGATATTTTTCAGCTTTTGGCAAGTCCTATGTCATCGTTTTCAAACAAAACATGCGGGAGTTGCGCACACCTTGTGTCAATTGAGAAGGGCCCTGTTCAATTTTAGTGATGTCAGGTAGTGTCTGATCCTTTTTTTTGGTGTTCGGCAAATCCTATGTCATCATTTTAGCACGTTCTGAAATTGTGCACACCTCGTCACCTCGTGTCAATTGATAAGAACCCCATGAGGTGATATCAGGTCATGCGTGACCCTTGTTTGTTTGTGGCAAGTCCTATGTCATCATTTCCAAAACATGTGGGAGTTGCGCGAAGGATCCCATTTAGTGATGTCAGGTCATGTTTGACCCTTTTTGGGTTTTGGCAAATCCTGTTGCATAATTTGAAAACATGTAGGAGTTGCACGCACCTCATGTCAATTGAGAAGGATCCGATTTAGTGATGTCGGGTCATGCGTGATCTGTTCTGTTTTTTCACAATTCCTATGTCATCAGTCTAAAACATGCCACACAAAAAATCAAAAACACAAAACAGTTTCCACAACTCCTATGTCATCCGAATGGCATATATTATACTTTTATATTATACCTGGGTATTGTTAAGAATATATTCAGTTCTAATGACTTGAGACAAGTCGGCGATAGGTGGCTGTTCCACTTGTCCCAAGTCATCAATTTTTCCCCATTTTTTTTTGACCAGAAACTTTCCCAAGTCATCAGCCCAAACTCACACCATCACAAGATTTGATAGTCTCCGAAAAAACGGCCGTCCGTTTTTCTGAGAGCCATATGTGATGAGTAAGTAGGAAACATGACCGCACATGACATGGGAGTTGTAGGTCTCAGGTGCATATGCAAAACTGCATCGCACTGCTGCTATTATTATCGACCTAAGTTGCCATTTGTCGCAACGGTTGCTGGTTTTAAGTCCATGGGGCGAACGCATTGCGACGACAGTGGGTCTTGTGGCTGAAACTAGTTGCCATTGGGCTCAAAAGTTGAAACTTGGCATTAGGAAGATGGACGGTGATCAACAGCCCCGGAAGAGGTGTCGCGTGAAGACACCTGAAGGGAGATCAAGGAAGAGAGTCTGGTCCCGAGTTTGGTGTGGGCACATGAAGTTTAAAGTTAAGGGTGTGCACACACACACACATAAACACCAGTGATTTAGGACTTGGGCTTAAGTCCTAAGTCACGGGTCCCTAATATAGGACTAATGAAGCTGTTGACGCTCGGGATTCTGCAATTAAGCGGCTGCCTGCCCATCGCTGTGCACATCCCCACGCACAACTTGTTGGACAGGGCAACTGGGTGCCTGAGCCCAGAGCACCACAATCATGAGCGAGAGAGAGAAAGAAAGACCGAGAGAGAGAGAGAGAGCGAGAGAAAGACCAGACTCTCTTCCTTGATCTCCCTTCAGGTGTCTTCACGCGACACCTCTTCCGGGGCTGTTGATCACCATCCATCTTCCTAATGCCAAGTTTCAACTTTTGAGCCCAATGGCAACTAGTTTCAGCCACAAGACCCACTGTCGTCGCAATGCGTTCGCCCCATGGACTTAAAACCAGCAACCGTTGCGACAAATGGCAACTTAGGTCGATAATAATAGCAGCAGTGCGATGCAGTTTTGCATATGCACCTGAGACCTACAACTCCCATGTCATGTGCGGTCATGTTTCCTACTTACTCATCACATATGGCTCTCAGAAAAACGGACGGCCGTTTTTTCGGAGACTATCAAATCTTGTGATGGTGTGAGTTTGGGCTGATGACTTGGGAAAGTTTCTGGTCAAAAAAAAATGGGGAAAAAATTGAGGACTTGGGACAAGTGGAACAGCCACCTATCGCCGACTTGTCTCAAGTCATTAGAACTGAGTATAGATAGATAGATAGATAGATAGATAAGATAGATAGATAGATAGATAGATAGATAGATAGATAGATAGATAGATAGATAGATAGATAGACACATAAAGCCAACAACATGCAAATGGTACATGATGGTACTACATGGTACTACCATCTGCTAATTTAACATAGTTTTCTTTGCAAATCACAATTTATACGGAGTAAATCATCCAGAAATGGGCCATTCTTTCACCCTATTAGGCCTCATGGGGCACGAAGTGAATGTGGTTCCGCCCCATGGGTTTCAACCCTTCACGCTTGATGGCTGGCCAAACGTCCACGTAGCTCTTCTTCTTGTGATGCCAGCGCTTCATGTATGTGCCATGAATACCTTGGCGGCTGGCCGCCCCAAATCATCCCAAATTCACCAGATTTCATGATGGTCATCTGGAAGTATGAGCTTGGTAGCCATGCTACCACTCAAATTATTCCAGGTTGCACACGGGAAGCTCCTGGGAAGACGAGATGGGTGTCAGCAGCTCACTGTCCACCACCTCACTGACGTGGTGACATGCCGATGATATTTCATGTGTGCCTCACCCAGCTTGCCTCCTTCATCTTGTGCCCTTGGTTGGCTCGAATCCGCTTAATGCCCTTCTCGAGCCACAGGGAGAAACGCTGCTTGTCATTGTGTTTCACTTCTCTTTCCACATCTGCCCTTAGGACAAGTTGGCTGGGAAATCCTTTGGAACGAGGAGAATAGTGGTACCCTCAGGCAGTGTTCGGGATGCTCCTGGGAAACCATGAGCATTTTCCTGCCAACATCAGTGCAAGAAGATATACCATACCCATACATTCGGTGCCGTTTCCGCTTCTAAACTTTGGCGCTTTTTACACATCTTCGTCTTCACCACACCCATCATGACCCATCGTTCAATAGTTTGGTGAGAAACCTACGGGAAAAGATGTGTCCTTCCGTCCAAAATGATCGAATTTCAAGGCATTCTTCAGTTTCTTGTAGATGTTTATCAGTGTTTCTCACATTTTTTCAACCTGAAACCACTGACCATGATCTTCTGAAGAGAACCATCCGAAATCGCTGCCAGGCATCTCTCCAAAGCCATTGTTTCTGAAGAAGGACAACGCAACCAAGTCCTGCAGCAACAACCCAACTGAGATGCCAACTACTGAAAAAGCTCATGGTTCACTGGTTCCACTTGTGGGGAAAATATGGATCTTAAAATGAAATAAAATGAATGTATGCAAACTGATAGGAAACCAAAGGTTCTTGAATGGAATTATGTTTAAGGGTTTCCTGCGGTTTCCTGCGAGTTTCCTCCTCGTTCAATTCTGTGAGACTAACAACAGGTGTTTTACCTTGGTTCAGAACCAATTACTAGTGGATATGATTCAGGTATATATTCCGGATTAATAATTGACGCTAAAACCAATCATGCCACAAACAAATCTATCATTGATGCCAATTCGACACGGGATCTAAAACAGTAACAGTGAGCCACCTAGGAATCGATATTTCTTCATATTTCTTTCACAAAAGAAATGCCCTCCAGAAAATTCACATAGACGTGGAAAACCCACCAGAAAGCCCAGCTCATTTTCATTTTCCACATGATGTCAACTTACCAAAGCATCACATTTAAACATATTTAACCCATAGATATGGACAACCGCCCTGGCCTTCAAAGCCACAGAGCCATCACTACGCATCTGAAGACCCAAGCGCTTGGCGTCGTGTCGTAACACACGCCTGAGCGGCGTGTGAAAACGCTGCTACGTTTCAATATCACACTAATTAAATACATCCTCATCTTATATAAGGTGTTCTACACATATCAAAATACTTTATTCAAATAATATGTGGGGGGGATAGGTTTATAATATATATGGGCATATGTATGGCATATGTAAATTTTAATATAGAATTATATAGATATATTGCAGATATCTAGATATATTGGATTCATATTGGATTAATATTGGTAACCCATGGTCCAGCGTTGGGAAACCGTTGGACTCCCATGGTTTCCTCTTCCGGTCGCGCGGCGTCAGGAAGCGACTGAGCTTTTCCGAGACGTCGGCCTCCGCGGCTTCGGGCTCCTGGGGTCCACTGGGGTCCCCTGGATTATGATACTCCAATATGTGGTTAATATATACTGTATTGTCGAAGGAAGTTTAGAAGTCAAACTTCCGACAATATGGAGAGATGAAAAGCAGAGCAGGGCAGAGGCAGAGAGAAGAGGAAGATTAGAAGAGAGAAGATCAGAAGAGAAAGAGTAAGAAGACAGAAGATACAGATGCGCGAAAAGGTAGGAAAGTCGCGAAACACTGTGTTTTTCCAAAGATTTGTGGCTCCGGAGGGTCGAAAAGTAGGCTCGCTAAAGCGGCGGGTGCGGAGCCAGCTGGCCACAGGAGCGATGAAAAATTGCACGCCGTTGTGGTGCGAAGCACATTTCGAAGTCGAAAGTGTTAAAAACTGGCGGTCTCGGACCACTTTTGGAAGTTGAGATGTCAGAAAAGTGCACGCCGTTGTGGCGCGAAGCACATTTCCAAGTCAAAATGTACAAAACACCTCAGCGTCGGACCACTTTTGGAAGTTGCGATGTCGAAAAAGTGCACGCCGTTGTGGCGCGAAGCACATTTCCGAGTCAAAATGTTAAAAACACTAGGGGTTCGGACCACTTTTGGAGGTTCAGATGTCGAAAAAGTGTCGAAAAAGTGCACGCCGTTGTGGCGCGAAGCACATTTCGAAGTCAAAAGTGTAAAAAACTGAGGGTTTTGAGCCTTTTTGACGTGAAGATGTCGAAAAAGTAGACATTGATTAACTTAACTAACTTGACTAACTTAACTAACTTCACTAACTTAACTACCCTAACTTCGACGACAACACCAACAGCAGCAACAACAACAACAACACCAACCACAACCACAACAACAACAACAACAACTACACACTACTACACAACTACAACTACAACTACAACAACTACACAACAACTACAACTACAACTACAACTCGAACTACAACTACAACAGCTACAACAACAACAACAACAGCAACAACAACAACAACAGCAACAACAACAACAACAGCCACAGCAACAGCAACAACAACAACTACTACTACAACTACAACTACAACTACACAACAACTACAACTAGAACTACAACTACAACAACTACAGCTACAACAACAACAACAACAACAACTACAACTACAACTACAACAACAACAGCAACAACTACAACTACAACTACAACTACAACAACTACAGCAACAACAACAACAACAACAACAACTACTACTACTACTACACTACACAACAACTACAACCACACAACAACTACAACTACAACAACTACAACTACAAAACAACTACAGCTACAACCATATGACTGCAACTACACTACACTAATTACATTACACCACAACTACAACTCCACTACGCTACAACTACAACTACAGTTGCAGTACATCACACTACATCCAGCAGTTGTAGGTGAGGTGACCACTGCAACCATTGCAACCATTCCAGCAAACACAACTCCAACCACCTTTCGGTCAATCAGTGGCTTCGCTCTGCCATCCCTGATTCACAACAACCAACTTCTCCTATAGGTTTCCTCTTTTTGAAACTTCCGCCACCGCCTTGTGCGGTACTACTTGTACTGTTAATAATGGTTAATATATGGTTATTAATGGTTATTATATGGGTATATAATGGTATATATATATAATGATGGTTAATAATGATCTGCTTGGTGGTATGTTTCTACCCCTCTGAAAAATACGAGTTCGTCAGTTGGGATGATTATTCCTATATGGAAAAAAACATGTTCCAAAGCCTTAACCAGAATATGATGTAACATGATATCAGCATACAAGATGGTGCCCCTCCAGTTCTAAGTTGGCTTATAACCGCCAGGAAATTGATGGAAATGGGGCTGATATGGGCTAATGGATACTAACGGGGCCTCCAATTTTTCCATCTGTTCTGACGGTATCTGAGGATGCTTGAAAGATCTTCAAAGTCTGTTTCCAGGCTGTGGCCACTCAACCTGGTTCACCTTGCCTGTGAAATGGGACTGAGTCAAAGCATACAAGACCAACAGCATGGGACATCACGGGACCACAGATCTTTGGCTACCCTCTAAGGTGGCTCTTGAAAATTTTCGCACACACACACATACATATATAATATACATTATCGTAAAATGGAGATTGTAATAGGGACATCATCTATCTATAAGTGGGTGATTTTCCGTTGCCATGTTTGATTCTACCATGCCGGGCATCCTTAATACTGACGTGTCCTGTGTTGAGATTGTCTCGATTGTCTCACTGCTCAAAGCAGCCTCCTTCTTTACACCTGGCGGGACTGGAGTGTCCACGACTGAAATGTCAGGATAGGGATGGGTCAAAACTATGACTGGCAGGTGGCAATGAAGGTTCACCCCCTTACACCTATATATAATTAATTGATATGGATTGATATGGATCCCAAAAATGTTCATTCCATCGTGGATTATTTGTGGCGTTTGCACTGGCATTGTTTGCGGTGTGCGAAGCAGGCGCGGCCAAATCAAGAGGATACGAGCGCTCAAGCTTGGTCCTTTTTCGCACCGCTGAGAGGTCTTCCGTGTGGAAAAGGCAGTTCAATCCTTCACATTTCGTGTGGCTCCTAAAGGTCTTGACTATACGAAACCTTAGTATCTCTTAGTGACTCGACGTCCTCTCGCCAATTAGGTGACTTTGGTGACTTTGGTGACTTTGGATTTTTTGGATTTGCGCAATGTCTTCAACATGCCCTGGGTGATAGGGATGAACCACATACTGGAAAGAAACAACAGGATCCCGGTGGTTCCTGGGTAGATGAATCTCTCCAGGCTGGTGGTGATGCCACGGGTCAACTCCGGCCTTTGGTGCATGTCTTGGCGGAAAGTGTAGATCCAATAAGGGAAGAGCATCAGCCTGAAAACCAGGAAGGCGAGCCACAAGGCGAAGCTATTGGTGGCCTCGAGCCAGTGCGGAATCTGGTCCTTGAGCTTCCCCTCCTCCAAGGGCATATTGAAGAGGTAGAGGACATTCAAGAACACCGTGGTGATCTCGCAACATCCATCCAAACAGCCCCAGTAGTGACACCTTCCATATCCCAGGCCAATGATGTAACAGCCCATGCTGATGAGGTGATGGATGGTCATCATAAACAGGAGATATGGGCCCATCTCCGTCATGGGTTGGACGACAATATGGCACATCATCCGCGAAACGTAGAGAACCAAGTACAACTCTGACCAAAAGCAGGTGCCTTGCCATCTGCTTTGCACATCATGTCTCAACTCCAAGCTAGCGGCTACGGCTGCAAAGGCCAGCAGGGGGAAGAAGACCATTGAGAAGTAGACATCTGCCAAGGTCACTTTGTCTTTCTGGTCTGGCTGCAAGACTAGGACCAGGATGAAGAGAAGAATCAAACACATCACCTGGCAGCTACACGACCAAACCACCAGTCATCCCTGACTGATTTCGGATTGCAACCTACAGTCCCCATAAAACCAGCTACTGCGATCTACTGCGTACATTATACAGTCCATCAGCCCGGTCAAGAATCGGTGGTTTCAGATCTTCAAAATCCTTTCATCAAAGCAGCTATATTGTAGTAATCTAGAATCTATACATATCTATACTATGTCTTAAATGATCTTACTATATGACATTACATGACATGTAACCCCAGAGAACTTCACGGATTTATCGGGCACCCAACATGTTCATGTCTTGTTTCAATGTTCCAACGTCATCCAACGTCAACAAGGCTGTTCCGCCTGCACGCTGCAACTCAAGGCGATAAAGCGGCCATATTCTGTGAAAGCCATAATGACCAGGCTAGGCAACTCGAGGATGTCAGCGAACATGGACATGGCGAAGGCACCGAATGGCACGGGGGAACTGGGAGTTTTGTAGCTTCCAGGACGGTCCCTAGTTGTGGCATGGTGGCATGTCATGGCACACATGTCGTGGCACCGATGGTTGGATGATGTTGGATGGTTTGCAATACAGCTGGCCTGGATGACTTTTTTCGTCCCCAACAGTCCTATGCACAATGTCTTGAGCCTGGAATCTCTTGCGAACGCGCCTTGCAACGGAAGCTCAATCAACATCTGTCTCCCCATTGCCCAAGTCCACTCCGAGTTTGTCCAAAATGGATAAGCCCAAGGCCCAAGTTCGGCAAAAACATAGAAACGGCTCCCACGCTTGATTGTTTCTTCCAGGACATGTTGGGAAAAATTTCCTAAACCACTGAGTCACTGAAGTTTGAGGATTTCCCAACATTTTCAGACTGAACATGTGCACTCTGCCGCAGGCCTGGAAGGCATGTCTCAAAGGCATCTGCCAGGCGTGTGTGCAAGGCACACAAGGCAGCATATCCATTGGAGCCATCGTCACACGCCCGGGCAAAGAGCACCTAAGGGGCCAAACACTTGCCCGGTAGTCCATCCATGTCTGGCATATTCAGTTTCAGAATTTCAGGCTCTTCTAATTACAATTGGAATATATTGTAACGTCTTTGTAAGTTGGATTTCTCTCAAGATGCGTGGGGATACTACCCGACATCATGGGAAACATGGGTTAGCCGCTAAATCTTGGGATCAAAGGGACCCAAAAACATCCAAAAACACCGTGTCCAGCGCGGCTTCAGCTGTGCCCCTCAAATTAGCATTGCTTTTCAGACATGAGTCATGGTCACATCTCAACCTCAAATGTTTGGATGGTCACCCAAATAAATATGTGGATAACACATGAAAAAACAGTATTCACTCCATTGAACAAATCAATTCATAGGGATTTTATAATGCTTGGCTGTTTTGGGAATAGTACCCCCCAATCCTAACCATCATTGATCATCATTGATCATCATTGATCCAGAAAAATGCATGGTCTCAGAATGTCTCAGATCTCAGTTGGTGACTCTTTGTCCAAATGATTCCAGGCCCTTCAGCTTGAAGTGAAAACCTTCCCAGAGCTCGACAACCAGCTCCGAATCAAATATAGGCATGCCGGATGGCACGGCATAGGTAAATGACCGTGGGTGGACTGAGTAGCTCGTTCAAACGAGCCTCATTGTGTTTGGGACAGCAGCATGCTAGCAGTAAAAAAGGTTTTTCGACTCACCGCGACTGTTGCATGCTGCTGTTGTCAGCTGGCAGTTGTGCAATCCTCCATCCAAATTCCATCAACCAGTTGGGGTGTGGGTCAAAACTGAGCTACCCGTTCTATATCCCAAACATGAGCAGAATCGACCCTTAGAATGTCATATTTTAAACCACTTTAATCATGAAAAAGAACATAGTATTAGACATGTCCCGAAATCCAATGAGGATAACGAGGTAACTACATGTAGGTATATACCCTCCTTGAGGTTCAATTTTTCCATGCCTGCCAGGTCTGAGACCTGATTGAGCTGTTCTCGGATGACCTGGCCAACGGCAATGGTTTAAGTTATACCATCTGGTTATGACTCAGATAACCATGGAAAATCACCATTAAAATAATAGAATTAATAGGTAAGCCATCTATAAATGGGCCATTTTCCATGGCTATATTAAATAACCAGAGGGTAACTTTATCTTATAGCTGGTTAATCATCGAATCTAAAGTTATGGTTGGATAATGTTGGATAACATGTGAAAGCTGGGGTGACCATCTACAGTTATGGTTCATTATGGTGAACTAATCTTCTGGAAACGGTGGTTAATTGGATATCAATGGCATCATGCGCGGGCAAAGCAATGGGATAATGATGTTGCTCATGTCTGTCCCCACTAGGTCGGCGGTCCTATTGGAGACGACCGCAATTTGTCATATTGTGACTTAAACAAGACATCTTCAGATTACTTTGGCTATTGTTAGGGTTCTTGAACGTTCTTGATGATTCTTGATTTTTTTTGATTTGGAGTCCAACACATCACAAGTGCCAAATGATCCAAATGTCCAACACATCACAGGATCCAGATCTGTCCACGTCGCGAACCTGCAGGTCCTCCTCTCGCAATTTCAGCGTTGCCAGGGTCAGATGAAACTGGCCACAGGGGATCAGGCACCTATGCGCAGGAACAGCGTCACTGGATGTCACTGGCTTGGTTCCGTGGAAAGCTCACAGCAAAACATGTCATTGCTGTAAATCACAACTGTCTTTATACACGAGTTTTGCATCCAAATGTGGGGGATTTCATTGTAGGTTTTCTGCCAAACCAATTCTGAATTCTCATGGCGTTGTCAACGAACAACAACGACTTGAGCAAAGCCGGGGCTCCAGGATTTCATAGAGGATATCAAGGAAAATCAATCCTTGGGATGTCAACAAATCATCATTCGTGGATTTCATGGACAATCCATTGGGTTGCACATGTTGCACGCAGAAATCCATCATTACAAGACTTCATGTTTTTTTCTATGTTTTTTTCCCAATAAACATAATTAATAATATAACATAATAAACCTGTAACAATTCCCGCCAATCCAACCTGTCCGCGCCTCTCCAAATCTTTCCGCAAATGTTCGTCTGCTTGGCCTACAAGTTCCTGGGTGCACGACGTGTGGCTTGGCTATGCCTGGGATTCGATGATGTGCAGCGAATCCTGAAGCTACTTGAATGTCACACATGTGTGATTGTTTGTGTGTGTGTGTGACATGCTATATATGTGTGCAGTGTGTGTGTGCAAATATACATATATATATATATACATATAATATCATATAATTAATATATATATAATATAATATAATATAATTAATATATATATAATATGTGTAATTATACGGGAACATAATAAAACATGAAACCAACCACGGTTGCTTACCGTCGCTCAGGGCATCTGAAAACGTTGGCCGCTGCCCAGCAGGACATGTATTGAGATACTATGAGATGCTCACAGTGTAACTTCTTACTGGGCAGCTTGCACAAAACAAACACCCACACTTGGGCACAAACATGAAAACAACCGCTCAGTGACCCACTATCGCTCGAGGCATCTTCATGTCAAATGTCATCAAACGTCCATTTCAGTGTAAAAAAAACACCGCCGAGCCTGTTGAACTTTTAATGCAGCTCTCTGAACATCTTCCCCCACACGTAGAGAAACAAAGTGCGTTGGTCGCTTTGGATCCTGTCGGAACATCAATAGTACAAAACAGGAGAAACTGTCGACAATTGTCGGCAGTAAACCTGATCTTTCCCAGAATGCCTGAGCCTGGAGCAACAACCAAACGGAAGAACTGAATGAATTGGAATCACAATACTTAATAGCTGCATGAAGCTACACAAAGGCTTTTTGTGGAAGATATAGGGTAATTTGGGTTTGTGTGAAGATGTGGAAATTACTCCAAAACCAATCGTTGACCACCGTCAAGATTGCAATGTTGGAGTATAAAAATGAAGAGGTCATCCGGGATCAACCGATGGTTGCCTGGTGGTTTGGGTGGGATTCCTAGCATTCCTCTCTAGAAGGGATTAATTATCATGGGGCACCCCCCAATTCCACCAATCCAAATCACCAGTTGATCATTGGTTGAATCCCCAGTTTCTCAGAACAGATACGTCACCTTCTGCACCTTCTGCTCCCGTCGCGGCGCACCACGTCCCCCTTTGGCAGCAGCACTGCTTCGCCAGCGATACAAAGGCAAACAACATGGGAGTCGCGAGAGACTGGAGGCCAGGAGCGGTGTCACCACAGCATGTGATGTTGCCATATATCCCCACCACTTTTGTACAGAAAGTGGGTAAACAATGGTAAACATGGGTATACCATATGCCATATACCCCCACATTGCCAGTTTCATTGTGAAAATTATGGCAAAGCCAAGGAACCCTCTCATGTTATTGGCAAGTCCTGCCCCTTCGTCCTAAACTTCTAAATCCAGCGACTCAGGTGCACCTCTATCAGTTTTTTTGCTGACAATGGGGTCCCCAATTTATCAATATTTCCCACTTCTCATTTAAACATAATCAAAAATTAAATTGGATTCTTGGGGATGCATATCCCCTTTTTGTTCCGGACAAAGCCACGACCTATGGCAACATGGTCCGAAGGCCATCTGGAGGGCCCCCACCTTTGGTAGAGCCGCGCCCCCCAGGTCCATCGGCTGCGGGACGTCAAGCCCTGCTGTAGCACAGAACCAGCTTTCCACGGGGGCTCGACCCATAGGACCTGACCGAAAACAAGGCCATTGCAGGTCCTTTCGCAGCCCCAACACCTATACCCGCCCAAAATGGGAATGGATGAACTTGGCATGCTGAACGTATCATATTTTGCCACTACCACCCTTTGGTGAAATCCAACTCCTGTGCTATGAGTGGACCCTCATATCCCCACAACTGGTTGTGACATTCACTGGAAATTGTGGCCATGGGCATGACTGCAGCCACAATGTTGTACTAGTAGCTATACCTGAACTAGGACAAACAGACTGGGATAGACTAGGCACACAAAAAAAGAACATCAAAATTCAAAATCATCTAATTAGTCGGTTAGTCCGTTCTCTTGCAGCCAAAAAAGGTAAAAACATGTAAAAACTGGAAGGCAAAACCATACGTTACAAAACGCATCAAAAACATCAAACATATAAAGATCAGTTCAGCAAAAAAATCATTTCTTTTTGGAATGAAACATGAAGAACACATCCCTGGCCTTCTCTTCTGTGATCTGGGAGTTCTCCTGCAGTTCCCTCAGGTTTCCACTCGGTGTTTCTGTGAAGAGATGCCGCGGCTTCCAGACCTCGAAAACTCAATCAATTGATAAATCTGCAGGAATTTTCGACGGAAATTCTGCGTTTTTCCATCTTTCCCCCCCACAAACAAGGTGGGTCAGAGAACCCAAAAGCAAGACGGTGCGCCGCACGTGTTTTTTTTTAATCTTGTGGTGTGGGCAGCTGCGCTCTGCACGAAATCGACGTAAGATCTTTACTGAAACATCGTGCGCACTGATGGTATCAGGGGCCACAATTCACCACAGCATGCTGCGTCAGCAAATGTCAGCTACGTCTACATTCTTCTAGTCGCTATTTCTGCTAATGTAATTAACTCTATCCCATCTTTCGGGTCGCTATTTATTCCTGGGTTCTCGTTTAGTTTGCTTCGCCGCAGAGGGAGCGAGGACGAAGCGTGGACGGACAGAACACCGTGCGAAATTGAAACTAAACGACGGAGGGAGTTGACCAAAAGAGCATGAAAACGAAGATATGAAGATGACAGATGGTGAATGATTCGTGAATGATCATGAACAATGAGACACGATGAAAGAAAGATGGGTAAAGACTTCTCTGTACAAAAGCTTCTATGTGTAAAAACTACTGCGTGTAAACGCGTCTGTGCGTACAAGTTTCTTTGTGTAAAAGTTCCTCTGTGTAAAGGCTTTTTGTGAAAAAACTTCTGTGTGTAAAAGCTTCTGTGTGTAAAAGTTGTTTGCGTAAAAGCTTCTGTATGTAAAAGCTTCTGTGGGTAAAAACTCCTCTGTGTAACGTTTTTTTTTGTGTAAAGCTTCTGTGTAAAACGTCCTCTGTGTGTAAAAGTTTCTGTTTGTGAAAGTCTCTTTGTGTGCCAGCTTCTGTGTGTAGAAGCTCCTCTGTGTTAAGGTTTTTTGTGTAAAAGCTTCTGTGTGTAGAAGCTTCTCCGTGTAAGACTTCTCTGTGTCAAAGCCTCTGAGTGTACAAGCTTCTCCGTGCAAAAGTTCCTCTGTGTAAAAGCTCCTCTGTGAAAAAGCTGCTCTGTGTAAAAGGCTTCTCTGTGTAAAAGCCTCTGTGTGTGCAAGCTTCTCTGTGTCAAGACTTCTTTGTGTAAAAGCTTCTGTGTGTAAAGACTTCCCTGTGTAAACCCCTCCGTGTGTAAAGACTCCTCTGTGTAAACCCGTCTGTGTGTAAAAGCTCCGCTGTGTAAAGGCATTTTTGTGTAAAAGCTTCTGTGTGTAAAAGCTTCTGTGTGTAAAAGTTTCTGTGTGCAAAAGCTTCTGTGTGTAAAAAAATATTTGTGCAAAAGCTTCTGTGTATAAAAGCTCCCCTGTGTGTACAGGCAACGCTGCGTAAAAGCTGCTCTATGTAAAAGCTTTCTGCGCCGTAAAGTCGTCATGTTTGTAAAACCTTCGGTCTGTGAACGCGTCTGTGTACACAAGATTCTGTGTGCAAAAGCTCCTCTGTGTCAAGACTTCTCTGCATAAACGCGTCTGTGCGTAAAAGCTCCTCTGTGTAAGACTGCTCGGTGGTAAAAGCTTCTGTGTGTGAAAGCTTCTATGTGTAAAAGCTTTCCTGTGTAAAAGTTTCCTTGTGCAAAAGCTCCTGTGTGTAAAAACTTCTCTGTGTAAAGGCTTTTTTGTGTAGAAGCTTCTGTGTGTAAAAGCTGCTCTGTGTAAAAGTTTCTGTGGGCCGTAAGAGCTTTTATTTGTAAAACCTTCTGTGTGTAAACGTGTCTGTGTGTAAAAGCTTTTGTGTGTAAATCTCCTTTGTGTATGAAGGACTTCTCTGTGTAAAAGCTCCTGTGTGTCAAGACCTCTCTGTATAAAAGGCTGCTCTCTGTAAAAGCCTCTGTGTGCACAAGCTTCTCTGTGTCAAGACTTCTCTGTGTAAAGACTTCTCTGTGTAAAAGCTACTCTGTGCAAAAAGCTTCTGTGCGTAAAGGCTTCTGTGTGTAAACGCGTCCTTGTGTCAAGACTCCTCTGTGTAAACGCTTCTGTGTAAACGCGTCTGTGTGTCAAAGTTTCTGTGTAAAAGTTTCTGTGTAAAGGCCTTTTTGTGTAAAAACTTCTGGGTGTAAAAGCTTCTGCGTGTAAGAGCTTCTCTGTGTAAAGGCTTTCCCGTGCAGAAACTTCTGCGTTTAAAAGCTTCTGTGTAAAGCTCCTCTGTGCGTGAACGTTTTTTGTGTGTAAAAACTTTGTGCAAAAACTCTTCTGCGTAAAGACTTATCTGTGCAAAGTGCAAACCCGTCTGTGCGTAAAAGCTCCTCTGTGTAAGACTTCTCGTTGAAAAAAGTTTCTCTGTGTAAAATCTTCTGTGTGTAAAAGGTTTTCTGTGTAAAAGCTTCCTTGTGCAAAAACCTCTGTGTGTAAAAACTTCTCTGTGTAAAGGCTTTTTTGTATCAAAGCTTCTGTGTGCAAAAGCTGCTGTGTGCAAAAGTTTCAGCGCGCCGTAAACATTTCTGTGTGGAAAACTTCCTGTGTAAACGCGTCCGTGTGTAAAAGTTTCTGTGTTGTAAAGACTTCTCCGTGTAAAAGCTACTTTGCGTCAAAGCTTCTGTGCGTGGAGGCTTCCGTGTGTAAACGCATCCGTCTGTAAACACTCCTGTGTAAACGCGTCTGTGTGTAAAAGCTTCTGTGCGTAAAAGTTTCTGTGTGTAAAGCTCCTCTGTGCGTAAACGTTTCTTTGTGTGCTCTGCGTAAACGTGTGTGGTTAAAAGCGTGTGTAAAAGCTCCTCTGTGTGTACAAGCTTTTCGGTGTAGAAGCTCCTCTGTGTAAAGACTTCTCTGTGTCAAAGCCTCTGCGTGTACAGGCTTTTCCGTGTAAACGCTACTCTGTGTAAAAGCTGCTCTGTGTAAAAGGCTTCTCTGTGTAAAAGCCTCTGTGTGTGCAAGCTTCTCTGTGTCAAGACTACTCTGTATAAAGACTTCTCTGTCCAAAAGCTTCTGTGTGTAAAACCTTTCCTGTGTAAAAGTTTCTCTGTGTAAAAGACTCTGTGCGTGACGTCCTCCCTGTGTACAAGCTTCTCCGTGTAAAAGATCCTCCGCGTAAAGCTCCTCTGTGTAATAAAAAGCTGCTCTGTGTAAAACCCGTGCCAACAGCTCGGCATTTTCAGTGCCACTCCCTCCCAGCAGAGCTCTTCCCAAGCTATTTCCCCACCTGTCCGTTCACGCTGATGCATATCCTATGCTTGGGTTCTCGTTTAGTTGGCTTTTCGCTGCAAAGGGAGCGAAAACCAAGCATCGACGGACAGAACGCCGTGCAAAATGAAAATCCCTCCAGCCGTGCCAACAGGGCCGCTCTTTCAGTCTCTCTCCCTGCCAACGAAGCTATGCATGTCCCGGGCATGGCCCAGGGTTTGGAAACCTTGGCAGGTCTTGGGCGCACAGTTTTTCGGAAGAATCATATTGATGAAATTTGTCCAGAAAAACCCGCGCCAACAGCTGCGCATTTTTAGTGTCGCTCCCTGCCAACGAAGCTATGCATGTCCCATCGCCCAGTGCTTGCACGCCGCTTGACTACGTCTTGGGAACACAGTTTCTCGATGTTTTTCGGCACAAGCGCATTGATGGAATTTGTCCTGAAAAACCCGTGCCAACAGCTCTGCTCGTTTAGCCTTGCTCCCTGCCAACGAAGCTATGCATGTCCCATCCCGGAATGTTTGCACACCGCTTGACAAGGCGTGGGCACACAGTTTTTCGGCACAATCGCATTGATGGAATTTTCAAGACCATGTCCACGCTTCCAGGTCGCTCCCTCCCAACAGAGCTCTCCCCAAGCTATTTCCCACCGTTTCCCGTAAGTCCACCATGTCGTCGCTTCCGTCTCGCTCCCTCCCAACGCAGCACTCCCCAAGATATTTCCCTTTGCTTTCTATCCGTCCACCCTGTCGTCCCTTCCGTGTCGCTCCTTCCCAACGGAGCTCTTCCCAAGCTATTTCCCACGGTTTCCTGTCCGCCATGTCCACACTTCCGTATCGCTCCCTCCCAACGGAGCTTTCCCCAAGCTATTTCCCACGGTTTCCCGTCCGTCTGTCGTCGCTGAAGTGTTGCTCCCCCCGCGGCAAAGTAAACTAATCAAACGAGAACCCAAGCATCGGAGATGCTTTTCGGAAAAAAAGGACTTCGTTTGACTTTGGCAATCACTTAGCCCCAAGATAAGTCATAGATAATCATAGCCCCGTTACCCTTTCAGCTATTTTCTCAGCTTTGTCCCATCCAACTCAAGACCGTGTTGGCTACCTTGTTGCCTGATTCCCATTGATTCTGGAGCCCAAAAAGCATCCTAAAAGTTATGGGCCATGACGCCTGGTGCCATCCAAAAAATCGCTGGTGGTTAAGGACGTAAAACCTGGATTGACCCTTCTGAGGTTTCACGCGTTGCCACTGGGATGTACAAAGTGCAGTGCTCTGGCTGCTGATTCTTTGAGCGCCTAGAGACGCACATTCCAACAGGTGAAACACAGCAGGGACGGTGCGAAAATTCCATGAACGACCGACTAGGAAAAAAAGAACTGCCTACGGAATCATTCCAGCCAATTCAGCTGACGGAATGCGGGAATACCCATTCATGTATGAAAGCAACGCAGGCACAACCGCAAGCCATTGGGCACAGTGCATCTTCAAAATGCCACAACACACAAGGTTCCTCCAAATCCGTTTATGGGTCATCAGGGTGACCACAGGTAACCACTCTTCGATCAGCAAAATGGCAGTATCTTCCTGGCCTTCAAAGTCTTACTGCTGGAGGCAGCCACTGCCATTGGTGGTTCAGGCCCACCTAGCCCTACAACTCCGAAGCGCATCGTCATTGCTCCAGGAAGGGATAGGAAATGATGGGGGATGGTTGTGACTTTCAGGTCTTCCAGGTCTATGGCTGTTGGATGTTCATTGGATTCATTGGCTTCAGATAGCTTCAGTGGCTTCCAGGTCTCATGTTTTTCTGCCCGTCTGAGGCCGTAACTCACGTGACGTGACGCAGGAGTGTGGCCTGCCTCCTCCAGACCCTCCAGAGTACATGGCCACAGCAAACGCCCCAACGGTGCACTACATTTCTGCGTGCGTAAAGGTCTGTATTCGTCAATCATCAGATGTTACCAAATATCATCACGTCTCATCAAATATCGTCAAATGTCATCAAATTACCATCTCTCTGTTTTTGATTCTTTTTGGACGACCATCTCTTCAACTCCTATCCTGCGCCGGCAACTCCCTTTTTTCCATCAACATATTTCGTCGGAGGCTGAAGCCCCAGCAGCAAGGTTTGGAACGGCGGACACTACGGCGCAGCGATGGCTGTGCACTGTGCACCCACTGTGCCGCAAGTCCGATGGATCCATGGATGCCACGACTTCCACCCCGAAGCTCCTAGGTCCATCTAGGTCCTAGGTTTTAGACGCTCTTTGCCTTGCAGGGCCCCAACAAGAACTTCTTAACAAATCGTTTGTAATCACTTGCTCCTGCTGGGATGATAACTTACAGGTGAAGTCGAACTCCTGTGGATCCATAGTTTCATCGGAGTTTGTTAAACATGGCTATGCTAAACTGTTTTGTTAAACTCCGCACCCTCCGCAAAGTTGAAAGCTAAACTTCTAAACGTGCTAGTAAACAGCCAGCACCTCACGATTCTGGCCCCAACAATCACGAAGACCATACAAAAACTTGGTAGGTGAACGATCAAGAACCACTTCAACATAGTGAACATCATCCAAACATATCCAAACTCTCCGCCGATTCATTCTTTTGACTTTGACTGCTTCGGGCCTTAGGATCTTAGGGAGATCCACACGAGGTCATGAACCTTCGATTCGACCTTCGCTGCCTTCGATGTCTTCGATGCCTTCGTCCCAGGATGACTTTGTGCCATGCGGAAAGCATTTCACTCGACGCTGGGCCAAAAGTCTCCTGAGGCCACAGGGGAGCATGCCAGCCAGACTGGCAAAGCCAGCGGCCGAACCTGCGAAGGCGGTTGACCCTGACCCAGAAACATAACTAAATATCATTTTGGGTCATTTTTGGGTATCTTTTTCAAAGGAATCCTATGGTTTCAGAGGGGGCGATTTAGAGAACCAACCGTTGATTTCCGGTGAATAACATACAGTTTGATTGCCAAAGGGTATTCAAAGGCAGCGTGAAAAGGCGCAACTGAGAATCAACAGTATGTTCATAAGGATTAGGGATTGGGTTGGGGCCCCGCCAACTGACTCCATTCACCCTCAAGTGGACTGGAGGGTGCAATATTGCAACGACAGTGACATCCTCCCACAGCGACACACTATGGTAATCCAACATGGCAACGGGGAATCCCTCATTTGGATCCGTTTATGTGGATGTTTTCTTTGTTAAACATGATTTTTCCATATTTTTCCACTGCCATGTTTGATTACGACGGGACAATATATGAGTCTCATACTGAGGGCCACGCCAATGACAGGGAAGACCAGCAAACATAGAGACGGCTTCCGCCAAAGCACCGTGCTGCATGCAAGGCCAAACAAAAGTTCGACTGTACACGCATTGTAGGCGTTGCGGAATTCCTTGGCTGTCAATGTGGCATGATCATTCATCGTGGCCAGAGATTGTATGAGGATGTATGAGGTCTGTTTATCTCCAATATATGTTACATCATGGCGCAAAAGAATCAAAGATCAGCAGGGTTGCGATGACCTACAGTAACTCGCAGACTTTTCCTACTTTGGCGATCTTTTGGGATTTTTTTTTGGCACAGGCATGCTATCCCCAACCGGTGATAAATCACTATTCGAGTTCATCCTGGGATCATCAATGATAGTGACAAGTGGTTGAAGTCCAAATTTTCCGATTAGATCCCATGATCAGCCTCACGATTCAATGAATTGTTCTTGGCATAATCCCCATTTCCAGGAGGGAACTCCCAATTTTGAGATATGGCCGAAGGAAATTTAGAAGTCAAGTCAAACTTCCGACAATATATGGGCAGATGGACAAGAAGAGGTGGGAAGAGACAGAGAAGAGAAAGGGAGAAAGAAGATCCGAGAAAAGAAAGCGAAACACTATGTTTTTCCAAGTTTTTGGGGCTCCGGAGGGTCGAAAGTAGGCTCGCTAAAGCGGCAGGTGCGGAGCCATCTGGTGAGATGAGAGATGAAAAAATGCACGCTCTTGTGGCGCCAAACGCATTTTCAAGTCAATAATACGTACAGAACACACCATTCTCGGAGCACTCTTGGAAGTTGAAATGTGGAAAAAGAATACGCCATTGTGGCGAGAAGCACATTTCGAAGTCAAAATGTGCAAAACACACCATTCCCAGAGCACTGTTGGAAGAGATGTTCAAAAAGTGCACGCCATTGTGGCGCGAAGCACGTTTGGAAGCCACAATGTTAAAAACACTGCGGGTTTGGAACGATTTTGTCAGTTGAGATGTTCAAAAAGTTCACGCAGTTGTGGTGCAAAACACATTTCGAAGTGCAAAGCGCACCATTCCCGGAGCACTTTTGGAAGTTGAGATGTTCCAAAAATGCACGCCTTTGTGGTACGAAGCACATTTCGAAGTCAAGTTTCTTAAAGCCGGAATAGGCTGGACGGTCTCGGACCACTTTTGGCAGTTGAGATGTCGAAAAAGTGCTTTGTGATGCTTTGTGGCACGAAGGCCATTTCGAAGTAAACATGTTAAAAACAGCACATGCTCGGACCACTTTTGGACGTTCACGACACGACACGGCAACAACAACTACAGCTATACAACTACAACTACCACTACACCACACTACACTACACCACATCGACAACCACAACTACAACTGCAACTGCAGCTACAACTATAACTACAGTACGCTACACTACACTAGACATCACTAGGCTACAATACACTACACTACATGCAGTACACTGCATTACACTAAGTTACGCTACACTTTTACTAAGTACACTACAACTACAGCTACAAATACAAACGCAGTTACAACTACAACTACACGAAACGCTACACTACACTAATTACACTACAGTACAATACAGTGCAGCACGCTACACTACACTAATTGCACTACACTACACTACAAGTACAACTACACTACACTACAACTACAACGACAACTGCAACTACATTACACCACACTACATCCAGCAGTTGTGGGTTTCGTGACCGCTGCAGCCACTCCATAAAGCACAACTCCAACCACCTTTCAGTCCATCACTGGATTCGCTCTGCCAGCCATGCATCACAACAACGCACCTCTCCTATAGTTTCCTATCTTTGAAACTTCCGCCGCCGCCTTGTACAGAACTACTGGTTATGGGTCAAATCCCTGGTGCCCTGGGTACTCTAAAATTCTAAAATAGCTGGTTAACGGATGGTAATCCCCCAGATATGGTGATTCAATGGTGATGATAGGTTTTCACGCATCCCCACAAGGATTTCCAAATGGCCAGGGTGCAGTCTCCCATCTCTCCAGGTCAGCTGCAAGCTTCTGCCTCACCTGAAGAAAAGGACATAAAAGGACTAAAGCGCAATGGCATGCTTATTCCTCAGTGATGCCGTGCTTTTATATATATATATGTACATACACTAAAAGATTTTTGTGTAATATACATGTATACATATATATATATAATATGTATATTATAGGTATTAACTTATAAATAACATACATATACATATGCATACGTGTGTGTGTACTTTTGCACGCTGCATGCTTCTCCATATTATTCAGTTGGATCTGGCGCATTTACCAAGGATGCCCTGCCTCTCTTAGGCGAGGCTCCACATGCTTCTGCACAGCTTGATGCTCGCAGCGGCACAGGCACCTACCCGGAGGATCTGCTGATTGGCCCCGAATTTGTGGCATTTTGTGGCTGTGGCCATCTTGATGGGGAACATGAGGTTCTAAATTCTACACATCTACCTTGGTTCATTCCAAAAAAAAGGCAAACCCACAGATCAAAAGGCCATGCAACATACAATACCCATCTCCTTGGAGGGTTTGATGCTTCGAAGCGAAAACCATCAAACCGTCAACTAACTCAATGAAAACACATCGTGAGAAAACATTCCGAGAACATGAAAACAACACAGTTTCCTGCACCTGCGACTGGAGGCAGGAAGGAATTCGAGCATGAAGGGAATGCTCTGCAAGTCACAACCTCCAATACTCAGCAATTTTGGGACACAAACACCTTCCAGTCGCACAAGGGACATCTGCTATATCTCGGAACTTCTCGGAACTTAAAGGGCCAGTACATGTCAGTATACAGTACCAATTTTTGACCGGTGGTATTGACAAAAAACGTCCCTGATGGGTCAAAAGCGGAGAATTCTGGATTTCCACATTGGCTGGCAAATGCCCACCAAACTAATTATGTGTGTTGATATTGCTATTATATTTGTATCATCGTTCTTGAATGGTATTGACCCATCGCCAGTGAAACCGGCATCCCACCTTCAATGGGTTTGCTCGAAGCTGCGCTGTCCTCGAAGCTTTGGCTGTCCAGTATGCCCACAGCATCTACCTCCTGAAGTGGCCCATAGTTTCGGCGCACGAAGAATTCAAATTACTGAAATGTTCAGAACACCTCCAGTAACTCAGGATAATCAAATATATATATCAAGTATATTGGGAAAAGGGCAAGTAATTCAGGTGTCTGATCAATTAATTGTTACAGTTTTTGGGTGACCAGGCTCTTTGTCAAATCTCACCTCGAAGAACCGTCGGATTTTTCCTCCAGAAACACTGAAACTGGGACTCTTTGGGACGGTTCTTAGGCCGAGGATGGTATATTCTTTTTGCCCTTCTGATACATTGACTGGTGGCACGCTCAAAACTATATATATATGTCGGATTACTTTTTGAAATGGTCTGGAATATCATATATGGAATGCCATTGTATTCCCGTGTTTTATGGTAACGTATTATTATATGCCATGATATGCCATGGGAATTGCATATGATATTCCAGATTCTATATTCCCATATTCATCCATTGCAATAAATACATTCTCATTCCATCGCTGCTTCGATGGTGACTGAATCGGAGCATCGGAATGGCTGGCCGACTGTCAGGACAGAAGACCTCTCGGGGATGCTATCAATGACACGCACATATTTATACATATATATATAACCATTCAATAAATAGAAATTCATAATGATAATAATGATAATAATATATAATAATAATAATATATATATATATACAGAAAAGCAATCACTGGTATAACAATACACCAGTGACAAACTTGAGGCCAGAGGGGAGGTACGAACGCTTCTATTCGGTCCAGCAAGCGAGAAACCCCCAATGCAGCAATCGTCTGACGCCAGGCTTTTTGAGCAGAAGAAAGACAAGATCCAAAAAAACGCACCCCAACATGAAAGCCCAAATCATAAATCTGCATTAAGGGTACGCAAGATGTTCCATAGGTAGGTAGGTAGGTAGATAGGTAGATAGATAAATAGATGGATAGATAGATAAATACAAAGATAGGTATATATGGATAGATATGGATAGATATGGATATATAGATATGGATAGATATGACAGATAGGTTCCAAAAGGATGCAACAGTAATGTCTCATTCGGCAACTGCACCCATTTGCTCCTGCAACATGAGGGCAGCGTATGAGCATCACCCTCAATGACTCAAGCCTCTCCTTTGATCCAAATTCAACGTTTTTGCAAAGGACTGTGCAAACCCATGGAAGTAAAGGTTGCCCCCTGGAAGCTACAAATCTGCTGTCGCAGCCAAAAGAATGGGCAGCTGATGGCAGCTGAGCCTTCTGTAGCATGACAACATCCCCCTCCCTGTTTACTGTGTTGTCATGACTCAGCGATGTGAGACACTCGAGCAGAAGCGTTATCATCAGAAACAATTCAACTCAAAAGACTTCGGATCAGTCTCGTCAAGCCTCACCAAGAAATTGCGATTGCACGTACTGTAAGTTGTTCAGTTCCAGGCATGTTTGATCCTTTCTGCCCAAAAAATAGTTGATAACCTGTCTGTAACTGGAATCTGCTTCCGGGCAGAACCCTTTTTTCAATCTATGCCGGCAAAAATTCCAAATCAATGCAAACCTGTTGCATGCACCATTGAGTGGAACCTGCAACAAAAACTCAGTCTGATTGTCACCAGGTTCTGGTTCCTTCACAATGAGAGAGGGGCAAACCCACTCAGGCAGCACAAGTTGCACGCAAGGCTTGTTCCGCAATGTTCCGCACCCAAGTGCGAAAAGGCTAAACGGTTACAATGAAGATTGCTGGTGCTTCGGTCAAAGCAATGACAACACAATGATACAATGTCTGTAGGTTATTGTAAATGGTCTTTAGCATACCTATTGCCCCACCTAATGCCCCTTGTCCCTTGTCCTGTAATCAGTGAGGAAGAGTACTGGGGAACACTGCAAAACATGATAAACATGAGGATGAAATACTTTGAAACTTGTACAGTGTATACAGGTATGCCATAGTATGCCCAGAAGCACCAGCATGACGCAGCAGCACCTCTACAAAGCGAAAAATGCTCACATTGCCTGGAAATCGGCGTAGCAAGCGCTGCAAAATCGCCTGCAGATCGGGGTGAGGGTTCCCTGTAGCAATCTGTAGCAGTTGGACGGGTACGCAACTCGTGAAGTTATGCTGGAAGCACACGGCGAAGCCTAAGTAATCAACCATCCGCGGCACGGGGCTCAAAGCTCCACCTTAGCCAAATGGCTTCACGATCACGTGTGACACGTGTGACTGGTACAAGTATTGATTCGTGATATGGCAGATATGGGTGGAGAGAATGGCACTGCCAAGTGAGTCTGGGCGCCTGGTTAAACATAAATTACTAAGTAGGTGGTGTTGGAGGTGACTTTGGATCACTTTGGGGTATCCTTGGGGTCTTTGACTTTGAAGCACAGGTGAGACCTGTTACAATTTGGGCAAGCAGCTGTTTTGTCCTCATAGACTCCAGCAGCCAGTTCCTGTCGAACTGCAATCGGTGGGAGTGGGGGCTGGGAAGAATAACCAATGACCGGTCGCTGAAAGTGCCAACTTATGCAAACTCGGTTGGAACGCAGTAGCTTTCAAAATGGACGCCCAACATGGATATTCAAAACTGTCCATGTTGCCGTACAATACAAGCAACCCTACGGAGACCTCATGATCGCGTTAATTACACCCCTTCTCCTCAGAAGCCAATAAATTCAATAATTAATTCAATAACTAATCGATCCCTTCCCCTTATTATATTAAATGCGTCATTCATTCGAAACATTTTGATACGCTTCTTAAGTAATCTTAAGATATCTTAAGTATTGGATCTATTCCTTATTGCAGGTCCTTTTATATACACTGTACTACAGCAAGGGATCAGCACCCGCATTTCTTGATAGGTAAGTCATGTTAAGTCCCGAGTGACCCTAGTGTCGATGGATATATTATATTATATTATATTGTATTATATTATGTTATATTAAATTATATTATATCCCTAAAACACTACCACAAATTACCCAGACAAAAATCGCTAATGTTGGCAACACATTCATAAACCATCACCAATTTTACCATGGGTGCCATAAACCATCAATCCTTCTGGGTGGTTTACGGTATTGCTTTACTAACATTATAACGAATAATAACTATCAAGCCCTTCCATATACTGTATGCCTATTGGCAATACTTGACTAAATTGCTAAACTTATAGCTATAAAGTCACTTTATTATATATTGTACCATATTATGAATATAATATATATATGTTATGCCTATGAAATCCCTACAAAAAAAATCATCTCCTGCGCCATCCCCGTGGCCGCATCATGGCGGATCGATCGTCCTTCTCTGTTCCGCTGGTGTTTTTCACGGTGACGCTTCCTTTAATGACCACATCCTTACCAAAGGTCATAGGTCCTGCGATCTGAGGAATTTCTGACCTGTGGGGTTGGCTCTGAACATCTCTGAACTATTGACCTTCCGAAATGGATGGTTTAGGCACCACCTGCTACAGGTATAGCAAGCCGATTGACAATATTGTCAATTCCATATCTGTGGGCAAGTCAACGGCATATGGGATATATCACCCATATGCCCACCCAAAAAGAAAAGAGTTGGAAACCGGAAATTATGGGAAAAACATCATCGAATTGCCATCCTGGAAATACTTTGCTATCTAATGTGGACCTTGCAATATGGTCATCCCTCTATCATTAGGGATTCCCTGTAATTGGAAGATTGACCCCTATGCGAAGATTGAGGATATCATTTTTTTGTGCAAAAATAACAACTTCTTTGACCTCCACTACACGCAGAAGTTTTGATCTCATCATCTATACATAGTATATAGCATAAATGGGTATCTCAAGAACTTCGACTTGGAATCCCCCTAAAAAATGGGCTTCAGGGGTCATTCAAGTCTGATTCCATGAACTTCGTTTCGCCTATTCAGAGCACCGCGCAGCGAGCCTTCCACCACCAGCTTCTTGCAATTGATCAAGGACGGTGGACCGTTGGGGATCAACTTTTCCAAGGCATCCTCAGCGAGGAGATGCCTTGTAGCTGTACCCTCCTATTATGATAGGGTTTTACTTGGGGAATATTAATGATGAGCTTAAATATTCCATTGAAATATATTGAAATACTGTGGATGGTTTTTAGAGATCCTGCACCTGTTGATGGGTGGTTGATCCCATTATTTATAGAATTCAACCATCCAACGTGGTGCAGGATTTCTTCCACCCATCGTATGATTAAACGGTGAATAACACTCATCCTCCGGTAATCAAACCCGGCAATGGAACACTCACTAATTTCACTATTTATAGATGATTTTCCCAGGGGGGATTTCCCGCCAGCCGTTATTATTGATTGGACAGCTGCCCTGCCAAGGGTGCCAAGGTTCCATGAACTTGTACATGCCATCCAGCTTTACATCCGGAGGCACACCTTGACGCTCAGCTGCCAAGACAATGGTGAAGTCCTGCCAGCATTGGGATCCTATGACTTCCACAATGTGTCTCACAATTTGGGGGAAAACCCCTGAATTTTATGCCGAGATCATCTTCCAAATAAAAATGGCCACATTTAGGGGTATAAATTATACCGATATCCACCGATATCCTGATATACGCTATTTTTAGACACACCCACGTCTAACATGCAACCTTTAGCTCCTGTTTGCATACAGTAAATACGAGTGGTGACACTATGACACTGTGCTCCAAAATTTGCAGGCTGTGATCTCTGGGAGTACATTTGCCTAAATTTTATGGTGCTATCCTTGGGGTGCACGCTATACTCACAGGGGCTTGAACTTAGTAGCTGGGGTTCACCTCATGATCTTTCCTTCTCTTTAGGGTTTCAGCATTTTTCTTTAGTTGGGTCAGCTATAGTTACGATCAGTTCATATTAGTTCACCATATTAAGCCCCAACTTACAATCCATCCTTCACCATATCCCAACCATTTCATCAACTCACGGCACCTCGGTGAGTGTGTAAGCATCCGAGCGGAGAGCCAAGAGATCCTTGGAGAGTGCTAGGGGTGTGATTCTTGGGGTTCCCCTTGGGCAGTTTTCCATAAACAGGGGATTTACCCAATAGCTGGATGGGTTACTGTAAGGAAAAACAATCTATAAATGGATGATGACATGGGTTACCTCCATTCATGGAAATCCCCATTTGTTTTTATTTTCCTTGATGGTAACCCGTGAACATCATGAACAAAATGCAATTGAGCACAACGCACAGGCGTGAGCACTTTGAGTCTGAGAAACATTGGTGGTCTTCACAGGTGCAAAACGCGATCGTGGAATGACCAAAGCGCTGGCACCTGCCAAGCCAGAAACAGGATATCAACGGCGAGGGACATCCTTCCCTTCGAACAAATCTCGTCTGATGCATGGTTACATGGTACACATATAATATAGCATATATAGCTATCCATCATCTACCTCACATTACTTCACATTACTTCACCTATTCTTGCTGACATGTTTTCGGGGAGCTCCTGACACAGCTTGAGGCACCTTGGAAGCACTGGATGGCGGCACCCATGGCGGTCTCCAATTGCAGGACCGCCGTGGATTTCTTGTCTCTGGGATCCACTGTCTTGGCATTCCTCATTGCATCATCGCCCACGTGTCGCGAAACAAAACACACGAAGTTCAAGGGGCACTGAATAAACAAATGATGGAACCTGAAATGGATATAAATAGATGCAATACTTTGGATTGATTCTGATTCAAACATGATTATGGAGTGTGATGGGGTCTGGCCAAATATTTGGCAACTGCTGGAACAGAATGGTCTCGGTGAAGTCCGGAGGTTGCCCCCTGTCGTGTGATGCTCTGGCTTCAATAGTGGCACAGCAACTGAGTCACAAAGAAACAACTGCATCTTCTCATGAAAACACCACATGACATAATTTTGCCAAACACCTGGACTGTGCTCAATGTGATATATGATCCCCACAAAAACATATATTTTCCACCAAATACCAGGCATTTCCCTGTAAAGAACCCCCCATCCCCATCCATTCGCCAATGCGCTTCATGACGGGCAAAGGGAGCGCCCCGTCGTTCCGTCGGAACTCACGCTTCAAGGCGACCAGGTCCACCCAGAGGTTGTTGGTGTTGAAAAACCTCACCCCGTGGCCGAAAAAAATGGACCGAGTTGGAAGATCTATACCGAGTCGAAAGCCATGTTCAGAAGGTGCAATGATGAAACGTCATGAAACATGATGAAACATGATGAAACAATAAAAAGTGCCGCAAAACATCGACCAAAACACACAAGATCATGAAGTAAACTAAGTAAACGATGATCTGCTGACATAAATAAATAATCATAAATAATCTACACAATGTAACATTGCGCCTACACAACCTGAACATGAGATAACAAAGCGAGTACAAGTTGAGTATTGACGACAAACAATGTCTCTCAACTATGGTGCTCATTTTGGCCGCTGGATGCCGCTGGTAGTTTGGCCCTCTGGTAAAGCAACAGTTTGCAATTAGTCGGTTAATCATCGAACGAAATGGGCGATCTGTACATATCTGTACCATAGCAAACTTTAAACCTAACCGAGGGTACAAACCAACCTCTCCCTGATGATGCCCGCTGAGAAGCTTGTACTTGCCAACATTCTGAAATTCCTTCTCATCCTCCACGCATGAGTATAGTGGGGATATCAATGGGATAGTCGTGGAATACTAGTGGGTTCCTGATGGGATGTTGATGGAATCTGGTCATACGGGCCCAAATCTCAATGGGCCAGCACCGTCCCTAACAATTAGAAGCTGAAACAAAAACGATTCGAGATATTTGCGTCTAGTGTCATAACGTGCCAAACATGCAGTGTTTTCTCAGTACATTCATATTACGTATAGCTCAATTTAATAGTGGAGTTACTAAATGTGATCAACATTCTCCATACGGTACAACAGGGGAAAAAAAAACACAAGAACTTGACACATCTTTGATCGCCAGCATCCCAAAGAGCCTCCTCAGGACATTGCGCACTTTCGCGCAACAGGAGGCCACCCGTGGCCTTGTCCTTTGCCAAATGACCGCCCTTCTTGTCCTTGACCCAGCACCGGCTGCAAAGCTGGAGGGAAAAAGTGGAGGTCAAGCGGGGCAACAATGGGTTCTCACACAAAGTTTGCCCCAGTCATTCTTAGTATATTCAATTTCAAACGCCATTCAGTACATTGAATTTGTATACATGTATCATATATATATACATAATAATACTATCCCATACTATCCCATACTATCCCATACTATCCCATACTATCTCATTATATCACTATTTTTTGGCCCATCACTGAAAACCCGCCGGGGGGCCGCATCTGTTCGCTCTGCCACTTCCATCATGAAAGGTGCGCCGGATTGCCTCGTCCCAGGGGTGCCACCAGCTACGGCGCTACGGGAAACCCCAAACAAAAATGTCCGACACCATCATCCAGTAATTCGTGGTTTTTCATACATATACATATACATATATATATATATCTATATATATATTAAATATATATCTATATGATTATAGATGACATATAAATATAACAGTTAAATAACTAAATCTATCTCTCTACCAGACCTTAAGTGTTAGTTCTAAACGAACTTAGCAAAGTAGGCACCCTGTGCCAAGGGACACAAAATGACTCAGGATCTTGAGGTCCATAGTCGCGCCCAAGTTGTCCGAGTTGGAAACGAACATGTATCGGTAACCTTGCAAGCACGGAGAAAATGGGCTTGGCATAAACTTGGCTTGAATTAATTAATATTAATATATATATATATACATTGTTTGTATTATATATGGTGGTTTGATGACTATAGTTTTTTTCATGGCATTGATTTGATGGGATTGAATGGGACATAATTATTATACCTGCCAAGGATTGTCAAGGATCACTCATGTGACTGTGAATGTGGAGGTCTGTTGCGGAAAACTAGCAAATCTCCAAGCATGATGTCGAAAATAGACGTCTCGAAGCAAAGCAAGTCCGCCCGTGTGATGCTGTGTTGGAACCAATAATCTGTCACAACAACAGAACACACTAAGTGAGCTTGGAATGAACTGTGAGACAGCAGTCTTGCTATGAAGAACACCCAAACAAAGACTATAGGCCTATGACGTTACCTTGCTCACAACAAAAGTTCGCGCACAACGCAGTGATGTCATGTTGATTGGAACATGGGCCAAGCTTGACTAGCTCAAATGACTTCAAGTGGCTCAAGTTTTGACCCTCCAACATATAAAACAGGGACGCATGCGCATTCCAAAGTCCATCTGTATCTCATTGCCAATCTTGAGATATCCTAAATACATGTAAGTACCCTGCCAAAAAATAGCTGCGCATTGTTTCCCATCTGTGGGCATATGGTATTATAGATTGGTATAGGATACGATAAGTACAAGCAACTAAAGAAACATTACTCAAACTCTCCAACCATGGCGCCTTTCTTCAGCAGCTTCTCTAGTGTCCCGCTCCTGCCAGGGCTGCACCACTACTGGGATTCCGGTGGAAATGTGCAGAGGAAAAATGGGAACAAGTGGGCCCTGGGTAAATTTGACTTCCTACCACACTTCTACATTCCACATCATTCCACATCATTCCACGACTTTTTGCACGGAAGAAACTCCAACTGTTCCCTGTTTTTTCAAGGCCCTTCATGGCTAACCCATCACCCATCACCAAGCGCAGTCCCGAGCATGGCTGGGTAGAGATCGCCATGCCCCGGTGGGCACCATTCGTGGTCCGGCTGCGCGGGCCACTCAGCCGGACTCATGTCGCTGGCCGTGACCTTGGGAGCCTTGTTCTGCACAAACCTCGGGCGATCATCCCAGGCCGGGGATATATCAACCCATTGGTGGCCCATGGATATTTTAATAGTCATGGGGTATTAATAATGGGCCTTAGAATAGTCTATAAGAACTATTAATAGCAATTCATTCAGAATAGCCATTGTTTTGCTAAGTATGGATGACCATTCCCAAATATGGGTTGATATACATGTATACATAATCCAGTTTTTGTCAACGGCACTCTAGGGCTTGGAACTAATGGGGCCCTTAAGGTCAGGGGATGATAACTAGAGTAGAGCTGGGGAAACTGTACCCGAAACACTTGGACAAATCATTTCGGGGCTACAAATTTGGAGAGGAGCCCGTTTGATGGCGGTTTCAAAAGGAAAAAGCAGGAGTGTGAGGAAATGCAGGGGGAATTACAGAATCGAATCGCACATTTAGTGAAACTGCACAGTAGATTGTAAATCTTGCGCCCGCTGTCCTATGCCATCCTGTCTCTGACACTTTTCCTCCCTTCAGTCTAGTCGCTCCAAGTCCGAACCAGTGCCCAACTCTGGATATTTGGACAAAGCTTCCAACGTGTCCTGAATTCATTCCCTGCCAAGGAAAAGCAACAATTTTGTGATGTGAATATTCAATCATATGTGCCACGCGGATTTCCTGAAACAGGGGGTAAAATCATCCAAAACTGGTGATGTCTATCTTGGAACCCAGTGGCTTTAGGATGTTTGGGCTGCCCATCCCTTTCTAGAGGAACCCACGTCATGGACCTTCCTGGAGCACCCTGGACCGCAGCCGGTCTCCTTGGAGGTTGAAAAGGAGTTCATGAGCATAAACTTCAGGTCCTCAGCAAAATTCAGGATGCAGCCAATTGGTGGGACTTTGCAGGTACATCAGGTACTCTGATGTGTGTGGAGAACCAATTCTCTCTCTCTCTCTCTGCATCATCTTCGCATATCTTTACCATTGTATACTATACCCCGGTCTGATCTTGCAAGTAGTACAAGCCAACATGAGAATAGAAGCAGCTCACCTGTAGACGTGGAAATGGCGTCTCAAAACGTGTTTACTCGCCTGGCCATAACCTGGCATGTGATGTTGATAACAATGACGTCCTGTTGGGCCACGTTGTCAAAGGGTCCTGGATGAATCATCACTATCTCTAGTTCACACACGCATATATATGTATATATATACAACTATATAATATATAATTATATTATTTTTTTAAAACAAAAACTATATCATTTCTCTGTGGCCAAGCTTCTGTCTTAAATTCCTTCTTCATAGAAGCCACTTGCTTCGCAATCCTGAGGATGTTCAAACAAGCTGCGCACACTGTTGCTTGAAGCAACGTTTGGAGCCAGCGTGCCATGATCATGACGAACCAGTCATCCTGATAGTTTGGTGAGGTTCAAGGCAAATTTTTTCGCATTTGCAATAATGAAAAGCAAATGTGTTTTTTTTCTCACTTGGAGATATCCAAACGATTGCGGGGCCAAAACACAAGGACGTCCCTTTCAAATGAAACAAACTTGAAACAACTTACGAAAGTTCTCGGCCCCCGCAGCTGTGACACACACTCTCACATGTCATCTCATACGCAGCATCTGTGCTGGCAAGAAACAAATCCAGGAAAGTGAGGCCTCCTGTGACCTCCAACAGGGACTTAGCCTTGTCCAAGCCCATACCTCTGCAATTAGCTGCAGCAGGTTGGTACACATCCGGGATAATTTGGTGAGGGGTCAAACAATTGGGGTACCCACAATTGGGTCATTTTTACTCTTGACACCAAGGAACCGGTGCCCAAGCCACCATTCAACTTGAGGATCAAGGTCTTCTTCAAGAGACGAGGGTCCTGAACTGAAAAGCCAATCCAGTCCCACCAAATCAACCAATTTTGTGTATGTGCATGGCAAGACCCCAGCATGGGACTCTCTTCTGCCACATGCCGTGGTATATGAAATGCTTGCCAAGCAGCTGGCTTTTCCTTCAGCTTCTCATACCTCGACTTCCAATTCCATGACTTGGAGGTTTCCTAAAATGCGGCTACCCCCAGTTCTCATCCATGTTCTTTTCGGATGTTCCATTCACCACCCAGCTTAACCAGGGGTAGCTCCATGGAAAGCTCCCCTTCAAAATAGCAGCCGATGTCCCAGATGTCCCAGGCACTCCATGAGCGACTCGACCGGATCTAACTTGCTCTCTGGAATCATGACCTCAGATCCGACTCAACGGATTTGTTGGGATCTAAACAGGAAACCATGGACTTTCCGGTGCAAAGATCAGGGGTTCCTGTAAAATTGCACATTGATTCAATATGATTCAATGGTTCATCATCATTTTCCAGTTGAACATATGCCGTCCGGAAGTATACAGATGTACACGGTACACTGGCATATCAGCACTCCAAAGAACTGCGCAGAGGTGGCATCTCCAATTTTCCCTGAGGCAACAACATCAGCACCGGAGACAAGGACACCTTGGTATCAGGAAATCACCTTCAGCTTTTCGGCACGTCCCTATCTTCTGCAAACAAGGGACCATAAGTGTACTTGAATGCGGCCATGGCGGTCTCATTCATATCATCCTAGCTTTGAGTTTCAGATAATTCCAACTTGCAGCTGGATTTTTTGTGAAGTTGCGGTAGTGAAGCACTCATTCTACATGCAAACATGTCAAACATGGAGTGCTTCAGCATGCAGCTGGTGTCTGCACTGGGGTCCTTCTTCATCTTCTCTTCGAACTTTGGCCACATGTCAGCCATCTTAGAGGGTCCAACCTGTGGATGAAGTGCCAGCAGCACTGTGTGGAGCTGATTGGATTTGAACTCGGCACCTTGGAAACGATATCCATGAAGGATGGCTTCAAGGAAGCTCCGCCCACCAAGAATCCATCAATGTTAGGCTTTGTAATCAGCTCCTGGTCAGCCGAATCCCCAAAGCTGGAAAAATAGACCCAGAAGGACCGCTTGTTGGATGAGGAAGCACCATGAGCCTACTAGCGAATATGATTATGCTTGAAGACGGTGAAGTTGCAAGGGCAAGAGTCTAAGTCTAAACTGAGAAGGAACATCCAATGCAGGATCAACAAAATAAAGATGGACAGATCATGAACAATTACAGTCCTTTTAGGTCCAGATTGCAACCTTCGTTCGGCCTTTTTTCATGAAACCATATGAAGCCCAATAGCTTACCACACATTTATGGACTTTTTAAGTTTGTTCAACGTACGCGTTGGATCGCATGTGCAAACATGGGGCTACAGAAGGTTATGGGGGTGATCCCATGCACAGTACACTTCAAACATCCAGCCTCCAGCGGACTCCAGCAGTTCAGTTTACGTCCTTGTGTTTGGGTTTCCCTTAATTTCTACCGTTGTAAGATGTTGTAAGTAAACACAGTTGTTTGAACAAACTGGGTCTTCTTTTCTTCCGCTTTCTCCTCGGTTTTCTCTCTTTCCCATTCCTCCTAAATCCTGTCCTTGCTCGGAATTGTGTTTACCTTGTCGTACTTTCCCCTCTCAGATCCCTTTCTGGTGGTGGTCATGATTCGCCTCATCCAAGGGATTCCTTGACATTCGACAAAGCAGTGGCCTATGGGAACTGATGGAACTGGTCATCTCAGTGACCACCTACGCCGTACCTCACCCGCTGCTACGCCGGCATGCGCACACTATGGTTTCGCTTCAGTGAGGTCCTTATTTATACTTATTATTGCTCCCTTTCAAACGCGAATGAACAACTGCGTTTTGACCTTGGTTCACTGGGAATTTTGGACTTGCCATCTCTGCACATGGTCTTCCAAAAAAGAAAGTGATGCCTCCCTCCCAGGTGCTCCGCGCAGTTCTCAGGGGTGACGCTGCCACCGTACTGAATCCGGACCTCCCAGGGTTTAACACGTCAGCTTTTGCAGGACATCCAATGACGGCCACTGCATATCATGCAAGCAAAAAATAAACTCGGAGGATCAACGGCACTCCAAACTTGTGGACACCTGCAAATCCTCTAAGCAAACAACCGAGCAGGCACTTTTCACTTCAAGTCGAGTAGCTTGCCAAAGCATGGTTTGAAACTTTTTAAGCTTGCCCATTCTTTGAGCCAACATCTCTTTGAATGGGCGGACTACACTGGTGCGTCCATCATGGATAGATATCCGCAGCCACCATGGTATACTACCGCATTCACTGATCCAGGTGTGGGTTGGTGGTGGCCACATCCTTACGAGAAAAAAATGTTTTTCATTGCGTTTCAATTGCAAGCCACAGTGACCGTGTTCAACAAAATCGGCAGTTCTGGTTGAACAACTCAGAAAGTCAAAATTCAACGACTGGCCCGCTCTCGGAGACATTCAAGACCATTCTAGACCGGTCTGTGCATCCAAGACCCATCGGGCCTAATTAAATTGGTTCCAACAAACGGCCGTGATTTTACCAACTGCTGCGATCCAAGAGGCTACCCTCGTGGTGGAGGATGCATCGGTGGTGCCTTGCTCCGAGGTCGTGAAAGGCTGCGCAAGAAGGACCTGCAGCTGGTGCAACTCGCAATGATGAATTGCTTGGTGCTTGGGCCAGCAATCAAAAAATATCAGGGTCATCACGGTCAACAAAAGGGAATCGTCATCGTCATCGTCATCATCATCATCATCATCATGATCATTATCATCACGACCACCCTCACCATCACTATCCTCATCATCATGAACCAGAATCAACCAATTTTGAAAGGTGAAAATCACATGAAAACAATACTTGAGCCATGTTGAAAACGGAGGGAGAAGTGATCCCCAAACAAAATCATGATTCACCGCATAATCAAAGAAGTAAATAGTGTTGAATTTTATGAACAACAACCGATATAAATATCAACATACCTATCATTCTCTACCAGTACAAGCCACTGATTCTCGCAGCAAGTGACCTGAAGTGCTTTGCCTCAAGCTCCACTTCTTGCGGGGCTTTCTGTCTTGGCCTTGACAATCTTGACATCACAAGCGGAATAATAGTGCGGATCAGTGTGGAAATTTTAAGCCCTAGGTTGAAAAGCAAACTTCGGATTCAATTGTTTGTGAGTGTTGCTTGAAATATCAACTTGAGGCCCGGGGGAGGTTCGAAAGCTAGCAGGACGATACTAATGTTGTACAAGAGACTGCTCAGCTGAAAGAATAAACCGAAACAATCAAATTGGAGAGTCTAACTGCCAAAAGGAAGAGCCGGATTGAGATCTAAACAGGGAAAAGGGCTGACGACGGTGATGATGATGATGATGATGATGAGGATGACGTAAACGAGGAGGAGGAGGAGGACGACGACGACGACGATGACTACGACGACGACAAGCCTGTAGATGACCATGAAAATGACAAATCTGTTCCTGCCCTCAAACCACGGAGCAGTGGGAATTGAACCCGGGCCTAACATTGAAAGTTTCTAGGCATTGAACTCTCCTGCCTGCCTATTCCTTGCTAGCACACGCTAATACAAGCTCAGCTTTAGTGAAAATAGTATATCATGGATCATATATCGGTGTTTCCATATCGTTTCCATAGTTTGATGACACTCTGCCACTCTGCACAGCACATTTCTTTTACGGCAATGGATTCGGCACGCTTCAGACAAGTCATGACAAGTCACTGTGGACCGCGACTCTTTGGAAGCGGTGTTCTGGACCTTTGGACAGCACAAGGGACCAAAACCTCTTCAAAGGTTCTTCACAATCTTCACATGTGTCAGCAACTGATAACAAATCCATGCACTGTTGACAATGAGATGATCAGTGAACATGTGGGCTTTTCCTCATGTCCCCGCCTCTTCTTGAACATATGCTGCGACCTTTTCCACTAAGGCAAATAGATTCTCCGGTGGGACACCCTTGAGAAAGCATGTTCTATGCCTGTTTTGCTTCAAAGAGGCTGAATCCTCAGCTACTAAAACCGACTGCAACCAGGCCACTGAGAACGGTTGGGCTTGTTTGGGGTGATGCCGTCGGACTGCGGCGTGGAAGGCTTCTTTCGAAGCTGCAAACTGGCACTAGGCGACGCCTGGCTAAGGTAGATCAGACATGATCAGACTGGATAAAAGTGGATAAGCATTGTGATAAGCATGGGTCACACAGTGTCACACATATATGCTGTTTTAAGCATGGAATTAAAAATATTAAAACAACAAAAACCATCGGAACATCACTTACATAGAAATAAGTACGTATATCAGACATGATCAGACATGTTTTGCCTCCAACCTTAGATCTGAACCTAGCACATAATCACATCACGGCCGCTGCCATGCCTTGGGGCTAGGGCGGCTAGGGCGACTCATCTTTGGGGTCGCCTTGGGAGCACTTTTCCGCTCCAATGGCAGTTCCACTTTGGCACTCTGCGGCCGCGTTCTGCTTGCGGTTGCGGTGTCAGGGCGAGATGAAATAACACTGGAGGCCTTGGAGGGAACAGCAGATGAGATCCCATGGTATTCGAGACTGTCCCATGTCAGTGGTTGAACTGCTTGCTGCTCAACTGGTTGTTGATCAGATTGATTAAGATTCTTTGTTGGCCCAGGGCTGGCATGGACAGGGGCCATCAGGCACTCATTGACTAAGGCTTGCATTTCAGCACTTCCATCCTCAAAGACTGTGACCGGTGCCATTCCTTCAAATTCATCTCCATCATTGTGCACCCAGGCCGAGTCAGAGGACACGGACAGCCCATGGTCACCATGAGTATTGGTGGATCCTGCTGAAGCGGCTGGAGGTGATACAGGATCTGGTGGGCGCCGAGCCCGTTCCTCCCAACCGGCTGGAATCAGCAAAGATCCAGGATCACCCAGCCTTTCAGCTGCAGTGCCCCCGACCACGGGGGAGAGTGCTGACCGAACTTTGGCAAAGAGCTCACCTTCCTCCGGATCAAGCTGGGGCAAATCTTGGGGCAGATCTTTGGACAACACGTCAGCCACCTGCGGATATCTGGTTGCTGCCAGGGAAGAGCTGCCAGTGTCCACGGTCTCCATGTCATGGCTCAGCGGCGTCGGTTCAGTCGATGGCATCAGAATACCAATGGCTTGATCAATAGCTGCCGTGGCAGCTGTGGTCTCTGAGGTGGAAGTCAAGGGCTCATGGATCGGATCCATTGAAACAAACTGGTCATTTGGCTGAGGAAGACTCTGAGGAAGGATGCTAGCAAATTGCTTTGACAATGTCTGGATCATGTCAGCCAGGTCGGTGGCTTCCTTCTGCCTTTCCTGCAGGGCATGATTCCACCGGGCACAGTCCTCAGCCAAAGCGGAAGTACGTTGCCATAAGGTCCCCAACATCTCTGCCATTTGCTCTTTGTCTGTGCTTGATTGAAGTGTATGTATATCAATCGGAAGGGTCTGCCTGCTGTGTGGGGGGAAGTGTTCAGTAACACCGTGTGTTGGAGTACCAGAGGATCTGGGCATCGGCATGGACGTAGTTTGGGTTAAGTAATCCGGTGCGCTGTGCAGCAGCATGTGCTCTTGTGGCTGTGCTGGCTGTGGCGTGGAGTGCAGGAATACTGGTCTAGGGACCCATGCTGCACTGCCAAATCCTTGCTGTAGCGGGAGCTGGGGTGGGATTGACTTGGGTGAGATGGATCGCACCACAGGGTAACTCTGCCTTCCTGGCAGCGCCTCATAAACATGAGGGCTCAATTCCCTGCGCGTTGGCCTTATGGGTGTGGAATACGGCCCCGGCTGCCCTGTCCCCCTCAACTCCAGTTGCAAACTGCCACCCTGTTGCCCTGACTCCTGTGGTGCCACCTTTCCATGTGCCCGTCTTCTTAGGGGTGAGGTTGGCTCCTCCTGCTGTGGCACGGGGGTCCCGGAGCGGCTCATCCGGACAGTCGGGATCTGCTGGAACCAAACGCTGGAGCGGCTATGGGGTTGCTGAGGCGATTTGGAGCGCACGCGGTGGGGGGAGAGGCTCCTGTTAGGTGCGTGGATCACTCTAGGTGCCAGGATCGGTGACACAACTGGAACTGGGGACATGGAACGGCTCGGCAATGGTGAAGGTGACCTGCCATGCGTGGTTGGCAAGCGGCAAATCTGCAGCGAATTGTGCATGATCTCTTTAGGAGAAACATCACACTTGCTACAACACTTGGATCCGAACATGTTTCGGGTCAAACTGATGATGCATGGAAGGTTCAATCTCATTTTTGGGGATGTAAACGAAACAATTTTGATTGTCATCCCAGCTGGATATAGGCAGTAAGTGGTCAACACGTGCTAAGATATTGTTCAATATAATCAAAAATAATGATAGTAGTCAAAGTGTTATGATATTGTTATATCAACTGGTTATAATCAAAGATAGATGCATTAGTCAGAGCCCCCTGGGTCCCCAAACTGGCTACCCCGTCACAACCATTGGCACCTCATCCAGTGCGAAGTCCACCTTCAAAGTTGGGGATCAGTTGAAGAAGGCTCAGAAAAGGGCGAATGGAGCCACAAGGCTGGTCTGTTGACATAATTTATATATATGCGTTTATTACCGGTTTGTTATTATTGATTTATTTATTGAATTTAGTTATAACCATTTCTAATTAATTATTTGACTAGTCCCAAAAAAATGGGTCAGGGATTCTGAGTTATATACCTAGTTGCCCATAGCGTCAACCAGGATTTATGAGTTTCTGTGCTGCTGAATTTGAAGCATTCCAGCAGGCCCCGGGTTGGGCCCCGGGCCCAGGGTGTTTATTGCAGCAACCTTTGGGCAAGAGACTTTAAGACTTAAACTTAAACTATCAATTGTTTTGGGCGAACATGATCACCCAAGCATTTGGCAATAATGTTGAGCCATGCCCAGTATCCATCACCATTGGTAAAACACACAAACAAAAAAAAAAGAAACAAGATGCAGCCCACGAACCCGAATACAGTCACGTAGAACACTTTTGTGAAACAAGGTATTTGAACAGTCTTGTAATTTTTTCCCTGTTACCGTACCAGTGCACTGTAGACTGTGGAACGCGGAAGTGCAAAGTGTGGAGTGTAGAGTGTTGAGTGTAGAGTGTGAAGTCTAGAGTGTGGAGTGTAGAGTGTGGAGTGTAAAGTGTCAAGTGTAAAGTGTGGAGCGTAAAATGTAAAGTGTGGAGTGTGAAGTGTAGAGTGTGGAGTGTAAAGTGTAGAGTGTAAAGTGTAGTAGTGTAAAGTGTAGAGTGTAGAGTGTGGAGTGTGAAGTGTAGAGTGTGGAGTGTAAAGTGTCAAGTGTGGAGTGTGGAGTGTAAGGTGAAAAGTGTGGAGTGTAAAGTGTAAAGTGTAAAGTGCGGAGTGTAAAGTGTAAAGTGTGGAGTGTAAAGTGTAGAGTGTGGATTGTAGAGTGTGGTGTGTAAAGTGTAGAGAGTAAAGTGGAGTGTAAAGTGTGGAGTGTAGAGTCTGGAGTGTAGAGTGTAGAGTGTGGAGTGTGGAGTGCGGAGTGTAAAGTGTAAAACGTGGAGTGTAAATGTGTGGAGTGTAAAGTGTAGAGTGTGGAGTGCAGAGTGTGGAGTGTAAAGTGTCAAGTGTAAAGTGTGGAGCGTAAAATGTAAAGTGTGGAGTGTAAAGTGTAAATAAAGTGTAAAGTGTGGAGTGTGGAGTGGAGTGTGTGGAGTGTAGAGTGTAGAGGGTAGATTGTAAATTGTAGAGTGTGGAGAGTAGAGTGTGGAGTGTGGAGTATGGAGTGCGGAGCGTCATCGCATGTCACAACATGCCAGGGCCATGCCTGCCAAGGAATTTGCACGTTGTGACCACTTCACGCAGCCCTGACATTGCGATTCGCACAAAGCACGCAACACGACACGTCTCAAGTGCTGCGCCTGCCACGCAAAATGACGATGGAGGTTTCCAAAGTGCTGCGCTTGCCACAAAAAACTTTAAGTCATCCTGTGAAAGCGACTCAAAAGTATTGCGCCTGCCACAAAAAATATAAAAAATGACTTTCGACACGTTTTCAAACAGGTTAGTCGGAATGTCACAAAGTGCCACGCTTGCCAAGCAAAACGAGAGGACAACCTGCTTGGAAACCTTCGAAAAGGAGAGGATGGACTTGTCGACCAAAGTGTTGCCTGCCACGAAAAACTGCAACGCATCTTCTGAAAACGTCGCAAAAGTATTACTCTTGCCACACAAAAAAATGACCTTCCATACGATACGAAACACGTCTGAATGTCACGAAGTGCCACGGCATGCCACGCGAAACGAAGCAACGCGACGTTTCAAAGCTCCAAAAATGACATCTTTTGCAGAACTTACCATAGGCACGGCCATACGGCCCTTACGCGGACGGTTGCGAACGGTTGCGAACCGTTGCGCAACGTCGAGCGAACACACCCTCAACCCCCAGACCACTAGAGTGAAACGGGAACCCTTGCTACGCATTCGGGGGCAAAACCCCAAGACATTTTGAGACCGCATCTGCTCTTCCAAGTATGGTTTTCAGCCAAGGCTAGCAGCCTTGCCATCCACAAAAAAACACAAACAAAAAGCCTGGGTGGAATGGCTTGTGGAACTTGTCCGGCTGCAAGTAAGTAGGTCTGCAACAACCTCGTGGGTGGCTGTGAGTCACGATATAGATTTGGATATATGATATAGATGTCTGCATATCTCGTATAGATTGTGGTATATGATGCGATATATATATATATAATATCAAAACACAACTATATATAACATGCAACATATTTAATATAATATGAGAAACAATACAAAGACTTGGAAAAAACTAAGACTAATACGATACATATATGTGAAACAGAATTCTGGAATCTAAAAAGTAGTGGCCTACAATTCTACAAATGTAATGAAATTATTACTGTAACCGTCAGGAGCAAATGAATTCGCTTATTCATTCCGCTCCGCTTCCTCCCAGGAACAATCTAAATTCAAAGAGGGTCGACTTGAATTCCAGTTCTGTTTAAGGAGACTTAAAAGGCTCGCGAATTGAAGAGACAACCGGGCAAGTTCGAATTTGCTATCCGAAATCAGCTCGAAACAATGAGTTTGCACTGTTATATATTGTAGACGCTCTACACCATCAGCACTAATCAACTTTCGCACAGTATGTCTACAAATATAAATATATAGGCCCACGGCATACATCGGCATACTGTATACTCTTGAGATCAGCAAATACAAGGCATCTCTTTCACAGTACAATAACCATCAATAACCGGTAGAAATGTATTACTACAGCTCAAACACTGTATAAGAATGCATTGTGTAAGAACTTATCTAAGGGACTCGGCTCCAATCCCAACTACATCATGAGAATATATGGCAATGGGAATATATCAAATCCCCACTACCTTAAGAATTTGAGGGACCCTCATATAGAGCGACTAAATGCTTGAATTATCGATTATCAACTTATCAACCACTATTATAACCAAATTCTTTGCCCTATTTTGCGAGCCACAATATGAAAGCGGTCTATAACCCTGACAAGTGCACTTCGGCTCTAAAGTGCCAATTTGAGGGGCAAAAGAGGTCTATAACGCCGGCAAGTACCACATCGGCTGCACAGGTTGGACTAAACAATGTGGGTAAAACAATAATAAACCATCCCCCAAATCACCATAAATAGGTGGCATAAACCATTCCCAAACGGATGGTTAAAGTTTAGCATTTACATTGTCAACGTGTTAAGAATTTGAGGGACCCTCACGTTGTGCATCCCCCCAAAGCCATGATCATTGGCAATTCTGAATTTGAGGAACCCTGGCCCTGCACGGGGAAAAATCGGATTCTTATCCAACTCAGGTTGTATCATCCATCTATCCACATGCAGTTCCAATATTCTACATATATATATATATAATTACATCTCCACCCGCCTCCTGCCCAAGAGACTGCTGCGACTTTAATGGCTCGCCCACAAAGTTGCCTGTCTGCTGCTGAAAAATCTGCTGTCCTTGTCGAAAGGCGTGCTCCATGGCGTCAGACCCGCGGACTCCCGCGGCGCGTCACTGGTGGTCACAATGGGCCCCCATTGTAGCGTCTCAATCTCTGGGAGGTGCAAGGAAAATTGAGGAAATGAGGAGACGTTGTGACCCTAACTCTGTAGGTTACAAAAATTATTCACAAGCTTGGGGCATTTTTTCCCAAAATGGCCTTAGCTACAAAATGCCAATTCATTTTCAACAACCTTGAAAAACGGACGAGCTTGAATACTGTCATAGTCTGTCCCTACGAAATGCCCGGTTGTTTGTCAAAAAAAAAACGGTTGAGGCACACACTTTCCTTACAAAATGCCTCTGTTGTTTGGACCATGTTCTTTTGCTACAAAATGCCAAAAACCCCTATGAAGCTCATCATGTTTTCTTACAAAATGCCATTGCGATTTTCACGATGGGGTAACATGATCAAAATGAATCCTTTTTTTAATGAGATTCACAAGTTTAAGCTACACAATTTTGGACCTGGATTTCATGTCACGGTTAGCCTAACTAAAATGGAAGCCTCTCTAAGAGGAACAAGGCCACAAACTTTGTAGCTTAAATGCGTAGGGGGATGGAAATGATACTTTTGAATACTATTGAAACCACCAGCTAATATCAGCTAATAAAGATTAGAGCATCACTTATGTGTTGGCCTTTTTTGATGGTCTGTTATGTCTTGAGAACATGTTGATGCTTGAATTGATCAAATCTTGCCAGTACACCTCCTGCTGATATGCCATGCTACTCGATGGACACGGCATTCCAAAAAACACGGACGCCTCACTAACACTTGTATTATTGTATTCAAACTATCAGAGGGGCCACCCAAATGCATGCGTAATTAATGATTCTATGATCCACAGTTCTGGAAGATATCGATGCCTAAGATATCCAAAGATATCATGAGTTGATGATATTCCGTCCTGGACAACACATGCTGGGGCCCAGCAAAATCCATGATTCATCCCACACGCAATCAACGTGTGATGTTTCTTCCCGGATAAGATCATATTTCAGACCATACTAAACCGTATTCATATGTATTCAAAATATTACTTTTCGATACTTTTCATGTATTTAGACCATGTTAGACCCATTGTAACTGCAGCCGGCTGCAGCCTTGTCGGCAACAGCAGCACTCACCGCGGACTTGAGGTACTCACGGATGGCTGCCTGGTGATAATGGGCCAAAATTGAGTACCATAAGAATTAACAACTGGTCTTTTAAGTTGCGGTACTGGTGAAGACCAATGTCATTAAATTGCTGGGTCGATATTGGGTTTTTAGTGTTGCAGAGTGAAGTTTGGCTAATTTAAATATTGTTTAGACTGACACTATTGGTAGCATTGGACTATTCATTATTGAGTGCCCAACGGTTTATCAAATATTAAAAGAACAGAACAAATAAACAATATGACAGCAACGTATGAGTACCAAAACTCTTGGTACTAGGGTTTGTCTCATAAGGTACACCAAAATCCAGTGGTTTACCATCACTTTTTACCATTGAAACTTGTTGTGTTTTGGAAAAACATGGTGAAAGGTAGTTTCCCAACACAGCCAACTATCATATTACATACTACTTAGATACCCCATGTATATCCCAATATTATCCAATATGCATATCCCATGATATACCATCCCGGAATCCATATCCTGCCTGTGTCTCTTCAGCCTGATCAGGTGTGGCAACCTTGCCGGTGCCAATGGCCCAAACAGGCCTCGTCTGGCGCGCGCCCGGGCACCCTAGCTGGTGAATGGTTAAATAGCTGGGAAATAATGGATGTCCATCCTTCCCAAATATGATTAATTAATATGTTTCATAGGTTTTGATCATACCCAGATCTGAATCAATATGCTTCATAATATGATGGTAGTAAATAACGGTGATAATGATGCTGATGATCATCTGTTGTGATGTTCCGGCTGAATTTCAAATTTCACGAAACTAAAATAGCTGAAAAGTTGGGCCATTTGAAGATGATTCCTCTGAATAAATAGACATAAATAGACCATCATTCTGGTGACATCATACTGAGGTCATTATATTTCATCCAAACACATTGATTTATATGGGTCTGTCTGAAAATATATAGGGCAAACCGCAAAACTGCAATTTAATGTGGAACATGATCAAATGTTGGGTACCCCATTTTCCCTATCTTTAGTCAAGTCCATATCATATCATCCCTGATGAATAGACTCCCATTTAGTTACTTTAATTGGGGAGGGCAATTTCAGTAGCAACACTTATATGTATATATATATATATATACACATTTATCACTTGTTGAAACTTTTTGGGGAGTGACCCATGGTAATCCCACATGCATCCACATTAATCCAATCCACCAAGGCTCATCAATTGTCATCAATCCAAGGGTCTGGTTGGTGGTTTCAACCCTCTGAAAAAATATGAAAGTCAGTTGGGATTGTTATTCCAAATATATGGGAAAAAATGTTCCAAACCACCAACCAGATATTGTCTTATACCACTGCCATCTGCTGTCTTTTGTAATTGCATCACTAACATCAAATTTCAAAGTCCACCACACGTGCGACCTTTGCAAGCAACAAACACATATATACAAAAACGATCTACGCCCTTGAACATGCCGGAGATTGAATCCTGCTGCTTATGAAGCATGAAAACATCAACGCCTCCCAAACAAAACAAGTTTTGATGGACTCACACCGGCTGCTAGGTGTGCAGCTCATATGCAATCACGATCTTGTCCCAGTCCTGCTGAGCCAGCAAGGGCAAGGTCCAAAGCAATGTCTTGACACGCGTCGAGCATGAGGCATTTCTTTCCAACCAGAACAAATAGATGACATTAAAGAATCAGCGTATATCAAAGTGATGAAATATCAAAAGTCCGCTGCCGCCCAAGGGTCCTTCACCTTCGGAATCACCGCCCCTAGCTGGCGCTTGTTCACCTCGTCAGTCTTTCCACCTTCACCTTGGTAAAAGGCAGCCTTCCTGGGATTTCGGACGAGTGGACTAAGGGCAGCACGTTCCTCCAGCGTCTCACCAATGCACAGGATCACATTTACGCCGATGTCTTGGCACTTGCCAACCTAGCCGGAAGCTCTGATGGCGACAACAGATTTGATACTTCTCACATCGCACCCGAGGCAACAAAAGAAACACTTCAATTGAAAAACATGCAAAAAGCGGCTGTAGATTGTGTGTATACAGTAGATTGTCCTAAAAAATCCATATATTCCAAGTGTTCCTTGCAGAGTTTTCTGGTTAAGATCCTCAATTTTTACCGAACTTTTTCGAAGCATCTTCTTTGCACCTTCTCTGCGACATCTGCGTCGGTCTCGCCATATTTGGTGCGACGTTCCGAGTGGCCAATCAAGGTCCACTTGATGCCCTCGGGGTGCGACGTTTCCGTGAACATCCGTTGTCATCAGTGGTGACCATCTGTGGTAGATGGGGATCCAACATAGCACAGCTCAGCTGATTTTGAAGCCTATAGAAGCCGATAAACAGGTGTTTCTCAAGGGATTCTCATGGATTCCCTACTGATGTGCAGGGCATTTTTTGCCCCAAAAAACTTGGAGCCTGCCGTGGTTAAAACTAGTCAAACCCAACCTCCTAAATTCAAGCAGCCCTTAGATTAGATATGTCGCAAACTGTCGCAACTATCTGCAAATCCCCTACTAAACCTTGATTTCCGAGACACCAAATCCAGCAGGTTTCCAGCTGTCCACTCACCTCGCAGCGCCATGGGCCATTGGTAGTACCATTGGTATTGCCACCATTATACACTGTATATACACCTCATGCCATTCTTCTACTATTGCTTAATATTAATATTAATGTTAATATTAATAACTGTAATTAAAATTAATTAAATATATAATGTTATATATATATATATATGTATTAATATTCTTATCTCTGCATGTAGATGTGGCATTCTGAATTCCCGGTCAGTCCCGCCTGTAAATGCGCCAGCATCGGTCTTGCCCACGTTCTGCGAACAAACCTCCATACCCAGGCCCTGACAGCAATCAGTATCAAATGGATCTGGGCAGATTAATGGGACATAATGGGACCGGAATTCCCAAGCCTGAAATGAGATGAAATGATATGAACATGTGTGAAATAAGTTGAAATGAAAGTCTCTTGTGTTTTTTCATGGAGTTTTGGGATAGTTTTGGGCTATGGGTGGTTCAACGGATCCATTTTTTTACCCCAAAAAAACATAAAAAAACCACACCTCAATGGACGGGGCCAAGGTGGACATCCACAGGGCCGGAGGGCAAATCACCACGTCCACCTTACCTGACAGAAACCGAGGATCCGGCTGGTGCTGGTAATGCTAACATGACTGGGGTTAATCTTGATGGGATCCATGGCACAGCATATATGGCAGCACCATGGATCCGTCATGGGTTATGTCAATTTATAAGTGTATCCATAGTGTATCCTGAATTATGATCATTTGATGATCCCCAATAATTGTTGTGTCCTTCAATGACCATTTGAGATCTCTCCAATGATCCCCAATGATCCCCCAGTCAAATTCCAAGTGATTCTGCATGATGCTTCTTGCTCTGACGAGGCACTCTTATCCACATTCGGAAGCCCCCTAAGCAACAAGAAAGAGCATTGAGCATTCATAGGGTGTCCTTCCATGTCCTTCCTGTGAAATTGATGTCTCACTGGCACAATGCATTTTTTCAAGAAGCTTCTGAAGGCAAGGAGCTTTTTCCATTCCTTCAGGAGAGAATTTGCCTCCTTCGCTGATGCAGGGTTGCATTTCCAATTGCCACCCACGATGAATTTGCCTCAGTCCAGATGGGCGATGCTTGGACTCTCTAGGAAGACAATGTCCATAAAAAAAAATCTCAGTAGCTGGAATCTACAATAAAATTACCTGAGAGATTTTTCACTGCTTGGTATAACATTCCTTTTCATACTGTTAAATCTTGTTTGCCGAATTATATACATTGCCTGCTTTTTTCCTCTAGATGCCTAGTGAAAGTGTGCACGGTGTGGTGTCAGAATGCGCGTGCGTGCACACGCACTGACAGTGTTACATCTGTGTAATATAACATAATTACATATATATATAGACCGTATTATTTATTTATTTACTTATTTATTGATTTATTTTTTATTTATTATTTTTATCTATTTATTATACATGTTATAATGCACGTGAATATATATATATATACATTATTATTATCATTATTAATATTATTGTTATTATTAATAATTATTGTTATTAATATTATTGTTATTTAATCAATCATATATGATTATACATGCACACACAGATTATATATATAATTATATATACAGTCATATATATATATATACATTACGCATACACACCGTATAGTACAGCGTGTTGAAAGTAGAAACACAGGTTTCAGGCATAAGTTTTGCAGCTAGCTTTTTTCGCCAAAGTGCGCGCCATATCCACACAGCTGAAGGAGTTTCTTAGTAAATCTACTCTCCAAGCTCAAAACAGCTTCGGCAAGACGTGTCGCATGTGAACTGTTGAAGCCAGCAATGCGATGTGGCCATAGATTTTCCAGGGCCTCAAGATTCTAGCCGCTGTGATCCCAAGATTTGTCTGCATGGATAGCTGGAAAGCTTCGTCCCTTTAGAAAAAGTAACTCACCACAATTCAGCCATAAAATGTTACAAAAATAATGTATGCATGCCAGCTTGCAAACGAAGCACAAACAGCAAAGCTTGAATGCAAAATCAAATCCAAAGCTTTTCTCCACCGCAGGCCCTTCTTCCTCACACAAGCTTCTTGCACCTCTGTCAGCCACATGTGATGATGCGACTATATACCTGTCTTATCATAAGAATTCCATGTGGTCTCTGGTTGTCACGGTCCATAGAGACACAACTAACAATGAGCCTCCGAGTGCACGGTTCACCTTCAAACAGGGGCCGAAAACAGACAACATGGCGAAACACTGAGGAGAACATCTCGGTTGAATCAAAAGTGCAGTACCTGGACCCACAACATTGGCCGTTGTTCAAATGACATCAATCATTTTGAGCCATTTTTGCGGTTGATGATTTTCACCAAAGGATTGGCCTATGGGAAATTTCACCCTAACCCTAATCTGGTTGTAAGGTCCATGATGTCCATGGAAGCACCTCTCGCAGAGCCTGTCGCTTTTTAAGCAGCGAACAGCTGCGCACGAGCCTGCATGGCGAACAGGAATCCTACAAAACGCGCACTTCAAGGGAAAAGGGCGCACTGATGCGCACTGTGTAACAATAGGGGTAGGACAGGATTTGATGATATGGCTTCAAATTGCTGATCGCCACCAAAAAACGGATGGTTCTGAGTTATGAGCTATGATACATTCTAAAAATAGTTTTTAAACATCTTTTAAACATGTTTAAACATCTTTAAACATCTTTAAACTATATACATCCAATGCTGTGGGTCCATTGGTCCCCACTTGACCCACCAAAAACGCCCCTGAGGCCCCTGGCTCTTCAGCAAGGGCTTCTGTCTGAACGCCCTGGCGAATGTCAGAAACCTGGGTAAATGGGGGTATCCCCCGGAGAAAATCTGAAAGAAACACTGGTTTGGGGAGTATGCAGAACATTAGGATACAATAGGTGACTTATTGGCAATGCTGCTGTCCGTGCCTAAACTCATCTAAACTCCCTCAAGCAACTCAACCAGGCCAGATGCTCCACTAGGATGGTTAGATCTGGAGGGAGGCCTGCAGCTTGCGATATAGGTCAAGTCATTGACCCATTGACCCAACCAACTTGATCCAAATTGATCAGCATTTGACTCCAAAAAATCGACATGTCATGAATTTCCCTCACATATCACATACCCTCTGGTAATTTAACGTAGCTATTGAAAATGGCCATTTATAGTGGATTTACCCATTAATAATGGCCATTTTCAATAGCTATGTTAAATTACCAGAGGGTATCTCAAATGCAAGTGATCCGAATGCACCAGGCCTTTGCCCTCTGAATCTATGGCCACGATGTGAACCAGGTGGATGTAGGGCGGTCGGATTCGGTCCTCGATGCTCCAGTCAGGTGCCACTTTCAGATCCCGTCGCGCTTCCACTGTCCTGAGGCAATGCCAACGCGGCTGTGCGAAAACTCATCGAAAACTCATAGGCATCTCTATGTCTATCATCAGAAGGAATCCTCATCGTCATTCTCTATCATGATCTATCATTGATCTTATCCAATCAAATCGTACATCAAAATTACATCGAAAATTACATCGACAATTACATTCTATATAAATTCTGAATATATTATGATCTTCTCCATCCACCTATCTAGGCCGGCCCGCCTGCAAAGCAATCCAAAGCTCCTATCGCCTTCCCACGCCTCAAAGGAGATGCGTTGCACCTGCCAGGAGTCCAACGATGTCCAACGGGGACTGCTATGCACAATGGAGGCACCAATGGACATAGCGAAGGTTGATGAATTTTAGGGGGTTAATATGGTTTAATGATGATGTTTAATGATTATCTTTAATGATGATGTTTAATGATGTTGTTTAATGATGATGTTTAATCATGATGTTTAATGATTATCTTTGATGATTATCTGTAATGATGATGTTTAATGATTATCTTTAATGATGATGTCTAATATAGTTTCTAATGTACTTTAGCATCCCAAACATGGGCTGAAGTTTGAGCCGTAGCCAGAAGCCGAACAACCCTCAGTTTGCCTCCATAACCTCAATGCTCAAGTTGACTCATGTCACGTATCACAGCATCCCAGGTACCCTCCGGTGTCATCAAACATGGCACTTGAACATCCTTCATAAATGATTTTTTAAATGAGATAATAATCATCCATAAATATAATTTGTTCTACATTTACCCCGCAAAACTGAGGTTTGACTTATCGTGTCTTGCCTTTATCAAGTGAGCAGGCTCCAGAAGAAAATCAGGTGCTGGAGAGAGGGAAGTAAAATTGAAGCCTGGAACCGGTGCACCAGCTGTCACAAGATGTCACAAGCAATTGCTGGTAATGCACCAGCCATGGCCAAGGGCCAAGATACATCATGTTTCGGTGCTTTCGGCACGTCTGAAACATAGATCTTTCGAATTTTTCGCCAACTTCGCATCCTCAGGTTACCAACGTCTCCGCCTTTGTCTTCGGAGATGATCAGCTTGTAGGGTAAAAACCTGGATTTCCAGAACTCCAAGCTGCAGTGTTCCGCCAGCGATTTTGCAGGCGCCCGGCGCCAGGAATGGAAACATTGGAAAACCATGGAAAACTAATGCAGCACAGTCTCCCTTCAAGGTCGGTGGAAACCAGCAGGCACACCTGTGCTGGAACTCATGTGGCTGGGTTTGTGACCATGAAACCAGGACATTGGATGATATTGGATGCACAAATTCCACTTGATGGGCAGCATCAACCAGTGAAAAGGCAACAAAATGCACAATGCCGCATGACCACAAGAGCAACTCCAATTTTCAGCTGCTTTTTGTTGATACCCAGCTTTGTTTGTGCGCAAAGCTGCATGCTACTCAGCTGGACACCTGCACGGGGTTGTGATTAGTGAAATTGAGGTTCTTCCTTTCAAAGCCTGACCCTGACAGCCCTTCTGCTTGTTGGTTAAAGCATGTTAAAACCATCCCAAAACACATCGTAGTCATCCTGCACGGGGATTTAGAAAGGAGATAGTTTCTCCTTGAAAACACACATCTAGTTGTTTTGAAAGAAGCGGCATGACAGAATTTGTCCTGGCGCCTCCAAACTCATGATGAACTGGTTTTATTGTCTTGCCACACCTCTTCCGCAGCTTTCCTACATGTTTGGTGTCAACAACAATCATGTTCCATCCCACCGTATCTGGCCAACACTGTCAAGTAAACAAACAGCACTCCAGGGAACACATCAGTCAGCAACTGGTAAGCACAACATGAAAATGAATGCGGTGCCATGGCATGTCATGGCCATTTCATGCTGCCAGGTAGCTGAGCTTCACTGGTTCTCTCCAAGAGTTGTTTTATGGCCTTGGGGCTGGTCATCCATGTCATCCATTGGAAGGACAGCATCTAATGGCTGGAGCCAGACTTAAAGATCTTATAATATGATATAATATGATCATATATAGAGACAATATGGGCTCATATAGAGATATGATGAGATATGTAGTTCCAATAGAATTAATTTCACCTTGCACCACTCTTGCACTACTCTTGCACCAATCATACCAATCCTGCCTTTGATACTGTTGATCCCTCACGCTGTGGGCGGGTCCCCAACTGAGGATCAACTGCTACCAGTGGAAAGCAGTGGTGCCAGGCCTTCCAGATCAGTCTCAACACTCTCAGCTCTGAGATGCCAACGTCGTCGTGGTCATGTTCCCATGTCTTGTTCATTCCTGAACCGGTCATGGACAACCAGAAATGGCAGGACCTATTCGGAATGGGCCGCATCCGAGGCCGAATTTCCAGGCAAGAAACCAACGGGATCTTCGACGCGTCGAATCAAGCTCATGATGTTCTTCACCTCGGAGGCATAGATTCTGCCCTCTTCTTTCCTTGGCGCAGCAATGGCCTACGACCTGGGGACCCATAGTGGTTTCTTTGTTCCCTCCAATAAGGGGCGTTTGAACGAAGCCCTTCAAAGCCGCACAATTGCAGCGTTTTTTTCGGGCCAAAGCCTGTTCTTCAGAAGCACGCCAACAAAACGAGAGGTTGGCAAGTCTTTGCATGAGATAATTGTGCAGCATTTACAAAGTAAACCCAATTGATCCCAATTGAGTGCCCTTTTCTCACAATTTGATAAGCAATTCTGAATAGTCGTGTCTGTGAATCATATTTTTACAACTTAGGCGGTGGAGATTGGGCATTTTCCTCTGGAAAATGGCGGCTGCCTGATTTTGGACCCTCCTAAAATGCCAAGGTGCTCTTCTTTCAATAACTCCCGGGTCTTTGCCGACAATTTCTTCCTGCAGAGTTTCCCTGGGATGTAGAAGCAGTCAGCACAAATATGGTGCACAATTGGCAAACACATGAAATGATATGGGATATTTATATATATATATGCATATTAAGAAATTATATACATAATAGTATAAAACACACACATATATATATATATATAATTATATATGTTACAGTAATTACCCATGAGAATCATCATCAGTAAAGCTTGCTGCGCCTGGAAATAGCCAGCTTAGAAGCGATGAATCCCAGTCCTCTCATCCAAACAGCCTCGCAAAGCTTCCAAGAGGCTTTGGAGTTTCATGGTCTCGGCATCCGCCTTAGAGAGTTGATTGGCTCACCATCGCAGTGACAACTTGGCTTCCAACATCTTCCAACAGGCTCCATTGAATCCATTGGTTGTCCAAGAATCCACCTGACACTCACCCATTGCCAAACGCCGGATCGTTGCAGTGACAATCTTCTGCTCAGCTTCGGTGAGAGATGACGCAACCAATTTGGCTCCTGCGCTCTGACTGTTGTGCTGACTCCAAGGGACCAAG